GGTGAATGAGGTCTTAGATTCTTACTATTTGATTTACTGATTAAATTCAAATCACTGTTCAGATCGCGTGCTTTAGAATGTGTAGTGCTGCCTAATGTATCCAGCTTTGTTTTAGAAGGTGGTGATGGTGAATGATATTTTCGCTCTTTTGGCGGTGGTGGTGATGTTGGAGAATGACGGCGACGTAACGGCTCTTTATCATCGTCACGTTCACGTTTCATTTTCTTTTCTTTTGGACTACTTTTACTACGTTTTGGACTTCGACTAAGACGTTTCGATTCTTTATGTTCCTTTCGTTCTTTATGACGGTGTGAATGTTTGCGTTCTTTGTGCTCTTTGCGATGTTTTTTTGATGAACGATCTTTTTCTTCACCATTTTCGTGCTCCGGTGAAAGATATTTGCGTTCTTTAACGGGGGATGGTGACTGATATTTTCGATCTTTTGATTGTGAAACTGGAGATCGATTATTATTATTGGTTTTATCCAATGTTGTTGTTGTTAATGGTGGTATGAGAGCAGTTATCGGTGACTGATTTTTATGTTCAATTTCATATTCTTCCAACATTTTGTCGATATCATCATCATGCTCAGCAGCCATTTATATTTTTTCTTACACTTAAAAGAAAAATATTAAAGTTTTCAATGAAATGATGTAATCAAAGCTAAATAGTTACCCGATTGTATAAAACACAGGAAAATACAGGAATAGTATTTTTATAGTAACCACTATAATCTCAGAAAAAAATGGGGAATACGCAGCATTTATCTGTGATCTCATCGCATAAAGCAAAAATATCACGCAGACAAGGCATTTTTCTTATATATAGACAGAGTTTGGCGGTCTTTTCTGAATTTAAGATACCGAGTTAATAATTATCTAATTTCTTCCATCTTGTTTTAAAAAAACTGCCATTTAGAACAGCGCTTTTTCATTACTGTGTCAGTTTGTTATATAAAGAAAAATACGCTCTTTTCTGTGACAAGAAAACCACTTTCGTATACTGTATATTTGCATTTAGATACGATTAAGAGCATAATGCATAAACATATAACGATAGTTAATAGTTCTTAACTAGAGTATAATTGGCTAATAGAGTATTTTTAACACAGCCTGGAATTATGTAAGATTATTAAATTCTGTTTTAAAACTTTACAAAGTACATCAAACTCTCTATTTTTTTCTCTAATAAATCAACTTTAATCGCTCACCATTCTGTCTAAGCTCATTTATTCACGGAAAAGATACCACTCGCATATATAAATATATGTTCTCTATAGGATAAAATTGCTCTTTTATAACACATATATCCTGAATCGTACAAAACATGCTTATAATCTATTGTTTGAGATATCTTAACATTTTAACAGGTATATCTAGAAGAAAACAAACTTTCCGTTATGTCTTGCCATCTATCACAATATTTTTTAGTATCATTAATCGAATAACTAAGAGCTTTCAGTACCTAGTAACAGATGAACATAGCGATTAACAAGTTTTCTAAATTAATACGATTACGCTTCTAACACAGAAAAATTGTCTAACTTTAGTATACTGATGAAAAAACTATTTATATTTTTCTAAATTCATTTTTTAAGAAAAAGCATAATCCATCGTCGTTTCTAGAAAACAAAATAAAATGAGACATCAAGTTTTTTTGCACTTGACGACATCAATACATTTTTGAGTCTTCAACCTAGAAATATATGGACTTATTTACACAAATGAAGAAGATAATAAAGTCACGCATCCGCCTAAAACAATATCTGTGTAAGGGGATATTTCTTTCTTTTTCTTTTAAATTAAAGCGCACAAGTTTACCAAAACTTGGATATGAAATGTGTTGTAGCTCACACACACAAATAATATTTGGGAGTCCTAAATAATCAAAAAGATCAGGATGAAATTAAGACGATCAATAAATGGAAAAATTTATTTTATGAACATTTAGCAAATTTTTGAACAAAATCTTCTTCTTTTCTGTATTCAGAAAGAAAATGTTTATTTGTGACTATTACCTGAGAAACTCAGGCTGGAAAAAAAAGCATTAAATAAAGATGGAATGACTATTTACCTTTTTAAGTATATACAATAAAGTTATGAGAACCTATGAAAGAAGCAGAAACACTGTCACAATCAATACAGTTAACTTTTTGAAAATGGTAATAAAGGGTAAAACTAATACATACACGTTGAAGAATAAGTTGAATTTGAAAATGACAAAAATTCGTAGAATTAATCGCACAGTTTACAAATCTAAAATGTAAAAATTCATGAAAAGTCATGAAGCATCAACACAACTTGAGTTCGGTTCAGCTCAGTAAGTTAAGCAGATTGAAATAGGAACGTTGGCTACTATATCTTTTCTCTATTTTGTCATTTGCGTAGTGAAAAATAAATGCGCTATAATCAGAAGCCACTTGCGTGTCGATAAACAAAACAAAAAACTGCTTCACAAATTAAGTGAAGACCATTAATATAGGGCGAGAAATGCACATTCGCATAACAGATATTAAGAACTCCTCCATCGCGCTCATACATATTCTCAGAAAAAAACTAGAACTGTGATAATCATCAATAAAACGTCAACCATCTATCACAGCCATCAACTGATTGCCGGTGTAGAAGTTCATGCTTTATAAATTTTGTTTTACAGTTATTTTTTTTCATTACAGAAAAGCTCAAGACTTACGCCCAAGACTACTACACGCGCAGTCCCCGAGACTGCCCTTCTGTAACTGTTCTCTCTAAACAAAATTTATTCAGTTCACACAAGTCGAGTTTAAAATATCAAATTCATTCTTTATCTGAGTATAGTACGAACATAATCGAAAGCTCGCACTACTTGGAACGTTTTGACAGAAAAAATACATTGTTTCCTGTTAGCTCTAAGAAGCCAAGATCAATGCGAATTGACGTAGACAGCCTCTCCTTGGAGCTACTATTTGGAGCTACAAGGAAACAATGGAAAAAACAGAAGACTGTAAACTATAAATTAATTGTTATGATTTATTATGAAATATGGAACTCGGACAAGTTGAGGACGTTTCTGATTGATTCGCTTTGCTGCAATTCGATTACGCGTTTTAACCAACACAAGACCGCAAGAGATGAACTCGCGACATCTATAAGAAAAATGTTAACTATATTGGTTCTGCTTTTCGAGTGTAGACTATGAGGATTGAAAATGATTTTAGAGAAATGGTTTTTTAATGCCGTTTCTTATAACCGGTTGAAGTCAGATGAGATGTAACGATGAAAACGTTTCGTCCAAAAATATCATTACCAGCTGATCCAACCTCTTAACGATAAAAACTCACAACAACATTTAACGGTGAATAAAAATAAAAAAAGTAACGACAAAAGCGTAAAAAGTCACACGAATAATGTTTCATCATGAAAAGTAATGTCCTGTTTGTTCTGTGATAAAGAACGTTAAAACCGTTGTGCAGCACAAGTTGTCGTAGATTGCTGGACTTTTATGCTGCATTTTATGGAAAGGTAGTGAATATTCCGGGATTCTACTGTTCTCTAGATGCCTGCAACATTTTTCATTTGTTGAGCAGCCGAATTTTCATTGACTATCGGAAGAAGATCACACTTCTCCTATATTGTATTGGTATTATCCCATACTCTGAGACAGTCTTCGTGACGTCTGAATCAGTCTTGAATTTCGTCGCAGCCAGTCCAGAATTTGTTCAGTAGAGAAGGGCCCGAAGAAGAAAATGCTAATAAAAGCAACAACGAAACAAGTTGTGGGGCCTGTTTATTCCTAAGGGCTACTGAATGAAGAAAAGGACTTTGATTCACAATGGTTCTGATACTTTTAACAATAATCCAATCTATCGGTTATCTCTGTTTACATTTTCTTCGTTTATTGGATTTTTGTTATGGAGGAAGTAGGTTTTCTACTTGTGACGTCCTGAAATGTATAGTTTGTTTTGATTGAAAATTCAACAGCACGATTTACCGTGTTTGCACAACAGCAGTTTCTGCTGGAATCTTTCAAACCAAAAAGTGAATATGATTCATCTGGAATCAATCTTTAATTTTTTAGTATATATCTCAAGTTGTGAAAAACGTCGATTAACTGCGGTTATTTCAGTTGAAACTGTAGCAACACAGCATAAAAACCTGTTTAAGCGTACAATTAACCAGAAAAACGGTCGGTTAACCGCGGTTATTTCCAGTTAACTGCACGTTTAAAACGGTCTGTACGCTGTGTTGCTATGGTTTCAGCTGAAATAACCGTGGCTACCTATTGATTTTCTCGAAAAATAGATGGCATGAGCTTGTTGTATTGATTGACTCCCAAAAACGGAAGGGCTCTGATTATTTCTTTAAAAGTGTTGACATATTTTTATCAAATGTATTGTAGAGAAATCTGTATTCTCAATTTGATGACTATTATGATCTACATATCTTCGATATCGACAGGACAGCCTTATAATCAAACAGAGAGTGGAAAAACCTAAGTGTTATACTAAGGAGTTTATTAATTTTCTTTTTGATCATTTCAATAACACGTAATTGCAAACGTTTACTGCCTTCTGATGGCAACCACTTCAAATTTCGTAATATCATGACATTCTTTTGTTCTTACACTTAAAGTTCTCACAATGTTTGTTTTGTATTTTGGTTTCGAATTTGAATGCGGTTCGAAGCTATTTGAGTAAATTCATGTTTCGTTGAAATAAAGACAACAGTTTTCTAGTTGGTATATCACTTTCGAAAATTGAACGTATGTTATTTCAAATATTATTTTTCCTAATTTATGATTGGTTATATGACATTGACATCAATTTTTGATGACCGTTGATGTTAACCTCTTTCTTTCTGTTGTAAAATGATATTTTATATATATGTCCTTCTTTTAGTCAATGGTATGATATGTTGCACGAGATAAAACACAACAGATTTCTATTAACTTGTATGTAGTTGATTTTTTTTTGTGTTTTGAAGAATCTATACACATACTTTTATATGTTAGATGAAAATTATTTTTAAGTGAACACAAAAGATAAAAATCAAGAAGATTAATCTTGGATGTAGAGATAGAAAAACCTCTTTATCTTTCTTTTTACTCGTATATCATACAATATTAAAATAAATAATATTATGTCAGTGTTCAATCTCAAATTTATCCAGGTTCATGCCACATTGTCCCAAAGAGAATAGATCCAATCTGAGACAAACTTGCATGAAACATAGTCTCCATCTAACATTGAACGCAGACATATATATCTATACATTTACACTATATTTTAACAATATCGAACGTTGTACAAGTATTGATAAACCGATTAGAAAAATTTCATAATAAGAGTTGTTATGTTAAATTTAATAAGGTAAAAAGATGTTCTTACAAGAAAATAATTAAGGAGAAAAATGTCACTCAATGTCACCCTATGAATGATTTCTATTTCTATTCTATTTTTATTTTCTTATTCTCATACACAGACAAATTTCATTAAAAGTCTACCAATTTATCGTGTTAATGTTGCTGAAAAAAGAGAAAAATTCAAAAATATTTCATNTCAATAAAGATGAATGAATAATCATTTTTTTTGTAAATACTCGTTTATAGAATATCTCTTCTTTTATAATAGTTACATGATGTCAGATATTTGGTCGTTTCAATAAACGGTATAATCTACTTTAGTAGACTTTCTCAATTAATTTTAAAGTTCTAAGCATATTTTTCGATTCGATGAGTTCGTAGAACTTGGAAAAAAACAGTTTATTAATAGAAACACCTAACTCACTTTATGTGTAACATAAGAAACGTTTTTCGCATGAGAAAATTATTATGATGAAAGTGTCATGTTATTATTAGTTTGAGAGAAGATTAATGTTTATAATGAAATATTTTTGAATTTTTCTCTTTTTTCAGCAACATTAACACGATAAATTGGTAGACTTTTAATGAAATTTGTCTGTGTATGACTTATAATATCTTTTATCTACTTTGAATATGAGAATGTAGTACAAATTTTCTATTATTCATTGTTTGTAGTCATCTATTGACACTTTTTTTATCACACTAATAAACTGAATTTATCTGTGAATCTTCGTGGATGACATATACCGTAGTTAAACTGTATTTTATCTCTTATTTGATATTTTGAATAAGTTTGTTACAACCTTGTATTGTTATATTTCTTTACGAACAAACTCTAATTTGTAAAGCTCTTTTATTTATTCTTTTTTGAAAATGTCAAATCAATCATATAATTCTTTAAACATACGTTTCGAAACAAAGAAAAAAAAATTTTTCTACTCAACTACTGACGTAATATTTCATAAACCATTAGAAAGAACACATATTTACATGTAAAAAGTTGTTTTTTTTTTGTTGTTCTATAGAAAAAAATATAGAAAGTTGAATAGAGTATATATGTATACACTGTATTCAAAGATTATTCAACAAACATTCATTTCACATAGAAAGAATCCATATATGATTTAAAACAACTATACACTACTTCTTTTGTACGCATAAAGATCTTAAATAACATATTCTGCATTAGTCAAATGACGTATGATTTTGTCAAATATCATTGTTTAATAGTAGTTTCAACTTACAAGATGTTTATAACTCTTGTGAATATTTGGTTCGTATCTTCAACACATTACGATTATTAAAATTGGTAACTGAGTAGAACGATTAGAACAACGGAATAAAACTTGACAAAAAAAAACAAAGAAAAAAAAAAAGAGTTTTATTGCGTGTTCTTTCCTATAAACGCTTCTGATTTTATACGTACTAATAATATGTCACTTGTATCCATGTAATTGTGTCTGTGGTCTCCTACTACTACTACTTTAGTATACTAAAAGAAAAATGTCTATTATCACTATCCATTTAGATGTTTTATACATCTCATGTTGCCGGTATGTGTATGTATTTATATGTATACACGAAAAATAGAAAAAAGAATTTTTTTTCTTTTTTTACAAGTCATTGATCTTGTTTCTTCACTTTACACTCGAAATTTTCAATTATTCATATATATGTAGTCAATAGAGGACAAAAATAGAACAAGAAGAATAAAGATTAAAAAAAAAGACATTTTGAACGTAGGCAAATCCGTACTTTGACTCATTATTTATCTTATTTGAATGAATATATCCGTATGTTTTCTATGTCAAGTCATTTCCACAAAGAAAGCATACGAATATATAAAGAATTGATTTCTTAATAATCATTAATACTTGATAGATGAAGATCATGAATTTTTTTCATTCTATAGTTGGCATAAAACCGTTAAAATTAATTGTTTGTTTTATCAATATATTTATAAGCAAACAACATAAATTTATTCTTCAATCAAACTAAGTATTATGAATTATTACTCATTTTTTGTTTTCTACTAAAAGCTATTATTGTCTTTTGTCTTATGCACACAGGCATCTGTATTCTAGAAATGATGATCATTTTCTTTTTGGTTCTGTTTTTAGATTATTAACGGTTTTTTTCTCTCTGTCTTATTATTAAAGTCATAATAATCGACTAATCTGGTTCGAAAAACGAGAAGAAAAAAAATAAAAGCTACTAAAATGTCGTGACATACACAACAAATTGTATACTTGAACCACACAAAAAAAAAAACGATTATTATATATATATATATTCGATTCAGTAAATGATGACTTTTTTACAAATTCATGAGAGAATATAAAGTAGTGGTATTGGGACCAGGTGGTGTCGGAAAGAGTGCATTAACAGTACAATTCTGTCATTCAAAATTTGTTGAAAAATATGATCCAACAATAGAAGTAAGAATAAAAAGATAAAGATATCTTTTTACTAGATGTTAACATATTTGTATTTTTTAGGATTTTTATCGAAAAGAAATTGAAGTCGATGGAGAACCTGCCTACTTGGAAATATTAGATACGGCTGGTAATGAAGAGATTATTTATTTGATAAATTTTATCGAAAAGATACTAATAAATCAAAATTATTTCTTATTTTTTCTTATGTAGGTACTGAACAATTTGCTTCTATGCGCGATTTATATATAAAAAATGGTCGCGGGTTTTTAGTGATATTTAGTTTAACAAACTGGCAAAGTTTTTTAGATATACGAACTGTACGCGAACAAATATTGAGAGTAAAAGGAACCGATAATGTGCCAATATGTTTAGTTGGCAATAAAAATGATGCATCAACACAACGTGCAGTATCACAGCAAGATTCATTAAATTTAGCACAACTATGGAATTGTCCTTACATTGAAACATCAGCCAAAACTTCATCTAATGTAAATGAAATGTTTACCGAAATTGTTCGAGAAATTAATTCACGTTTAAAATTAAAGAAAAATAAACGAAAAAAGTCAAAATCATCATCGATGTTGACTTGTTGTTCCACATCGTAAAGTTTATTTCTTCTATTTTGCATTCAACAACACAACAACAACAACAACAACAGAAACCTATTTAGGATATTTAAAAAAAGTAAGTGTAAATGAATTGAAAGGTATTACAGTGGCTTGTGCAACAAGAAGTTCATTTTGTCACTGTTCGATGTTCTGTCGATTCTCTTTCTATGAATATTGTTTCGGTGAGAAAGACTCAAATTATAAAAAGAAAATATGTATTGTTTACTCTATAGTCTACAACAATGTCAGTCCTAACGAAGCTGTTTGTCGCAAGCGCATGACTTTCTTGATTTCACACCAAGGAAAGTCATGACTTGGAAACATTTCGTACTCATACAAAACGCTTTTTTTTATTGGCTTCATGCGCTTTAAGTTTCTTGAAATATGTACATACGATTCATTCTCAGTTTGCAAGCTAATTGAATTTTTATATATTTTTCAATTTCTCCTTTTGTAAGTTAGTTAATCAATTCAAAATTCGTTTAAATTCGAAGTGTTTCGAGATGTTTTTATAATGCCAATGTTGTCAATTTTTCAGAAGTGGGCTAATAATTTAGATTTAAAGCGTCTGTACTGAAACGTCTAAAACAACAGATTGTTCATCAAAGTCTACAAAATGGACATGCTGCAATATTCATTCTTCTTCAACATATAAGTGTATTTTTGACGTTGGTGGAACAAAAGAACGTTTAAAATTATGTTCTGTCAAAATTTTTCTTCTCTTTAACACCTTCTCTTAATTGCGCTATGTTGTTTTTTTGCTGATTACTTATGAAACGAAAAAAACTCTATATTTTCTTTTAATAAACTGGCATGCAAAATACGTGGTTTTTTCGTTTACCTTTTGCCTTGTAAAATGAGAAAATTGAAGGATATATAGAAACTCACTTAGTTTACAGACTGGGAAGATGCCGTACATAGCCCCAGTAATTCGCGCATACCTAAAGCATTTTGCATGATCAAGAATTTTATGGGCATGGAGACAAATCTTATTATATACGCCTGAGAAAAAAATTTTGATTAGAGAACATAATCGAAACCAAATTCGAACAAATCGATATACTTCAGTTTGAATGAGCATTGTATTTGATATTATTCTTAAATTTCTCAATTGTTGCTAATTAAAACTGTTGGATTGATGAGAATCCTTTCTTCTAAAAACGTCTACGTACAATTATGTATCCTTCTTATATGTTACTTTTTCTTCAATTATAGGAGTTCATTGGTTTCGCTTCAATTCAGTCAATGATGTCTCAAATTTTCCTTTCGTTATTTATTCTGTTCTTTTCTTACTGTTATAACTGTGTTCATTTCGCTTTGTGATCTTTCTACACACACAGATTAAACTGTCTGTTTTTCTATTTTCTTTTTAATTTAACTTTTCTTCTGTTCTAAACAGTTTTGAATTTTTATCTCATAGTCGGTAACAAATATACACTATCAAATAGAGATAAAATAAAGAGTTTTTCTGATAAACACAAATAGAAATTTTTTGTTTTTTTACTTATCAAAAATATAAGAAATGTCACTATTATGCGGATGGTAATAATGAATAAAGATGTTTACCCTTTAAGAAGGAAATATGTTTTTACTTGTTTTTGAACACGTATATGATTGTTTGTGATGTTTTCTTTTTTGATATACATATATATGTTTATTTTTCTAGTTTTCCTCTTTCACCATTACTACTGTTGTGTTTATTTCATACCATGTTTATTATAAAATTATTTATGTACGATGTGTACAAGGTTAATTTTGAAAATTGATTTGTATATTTAGTAAAAAAAATTAAGATATTTTATAAATGTTTAGAAGATTGATAAACTTATTATAGGCTTTCTTTTTGGTGAAAAAGGATATCTGTGTATCGACACGGCCACCTATGTATTCTTGTCTTTTAACCTGTCTAATCTGTATAAATGACAGAGATAAGAACAGACAGTGGAAACTGTGCGAAAAATCAGCACTATTGATGGATCGCTTTTTTTGCTCAAAAATTTGATAACGTTCAACAGATACGGAGAAAGAAAATGAATTCAGTTTTTGTCTAAAACATAGAAATAACTCAACTTTTGTTATGATAGTGATAGAGGGACGAAAGGTATTTTTATTTAGATATATGCAATTGTGGAATGGCATTAAGACTTAAACAAACGATAGATACTGTATATATTTATTTTAATTCAAAATTAAAACTTCATACTTTTATTTAGCAAAAAATATTTTCAACTTTTGTTTGTCAAACAGGTATAGTACACTTGATTCCTAAACTGGAAAATCGAACAACTGTTAATATAATAGAAACAATAGAAACAAATGTAGATTTATTGAACTCTTGATACATTTAAGAGCGTATTACCCAGCGACGTATTTCTACAGGGTGTAGAAATCCACCATTTCAAACTTTTTGGTTTTTGTTAAAAGCAACACTTTGATGAACATCGGCGAAGAGCATAGGTTAAAAAGTTTCTATTTAGGGAAGATATTAAAACTTTACGAAAAGCTCTAAAAATCAAAACATCTAGACCGTGAAGAGACAATAGTTTATTATTAAACCTGAATAATGAATATTTGTATTAAGACGGATGACTCACGTCTAATGCCTTATTTTTTTATTCCGCTTTATGTATTGATTTTGGCACCAAGTTTTTCGCTAGTTTAGTCTCATAGCCTTTTAGATTTTTGATATTTGCCAGTGATGGTCTGTACTCTGTTAACATACAGCTTGGTATTTTTTGAGTGATTTGTTTTGTTAATCGTTTGTAGTTTGTCTTATATTTTATTACTAGCATTCAAAAAAGCTGATGAGCCTTAGAGAGGTGCCGTTCGGATCGGACTTTGTAAAAATTGGTTAATATTCACCAGGCATCTTTGTCACTTGATCGGATTATTGGCGGACGACACTACGATATGTCGCCTGTAAATCTGGACTCTGTATGAGATAGAATTTTTGTCACAGGGTCGTATGTAAATATGATGTACAAGAGTAGTGACAATGGAGAATCTTGAGGGGTCCTACGACTGATTATAATCTCTCTGGATAAGTACGAGTTTAGGTCAAAGTGTGCTGTTTTATCATTGAGAAATAAAGTGAGCCATCTGAATAAATAACAAAGACTCTATTCTAATTAAAATGAATAAATAGAGTTGCTTGCCGAGTGTCTACAATTTTCTCAAAAGACTTTAATGTCATACAGAATCATATGTGGATTTGAAATTGAAAAATATCATTTTCACATGAAATTCGTATATATAAACGAACGGTGTATGAATATCATTTAACGTCGGTGAATTAGACCGTGAAATTAATGCTGGTGGAGGTGACCTAGAAACTAATGGACCTAGAAACGAAGGATCGCTAAAGCTGCAGTAATAACTAACGACGAACAAATAGAAATTGACAACAATAAAATATTTGTTGACAATGGTCGTGCTGCTAATGGATCGCTCCTAGAGCATATAGAAGTTTGCAAAGTTCATTGGACTATTTACTCAATCTACTAGACGCGGACTGGACTGCACTAGATCTTTTTAGTCCATGGACCGGACTGAGTTCATACGAAGCTCTACTAGGTATTCTCTATCCTCAGTAAATTTAAGCAGATAGTCTTTGATTATACGCTCTAATAATTTACCGATGCAGCTCAGTAAACTGATCGGTCTATGGCTTGAGACATCATTTTTTTGGTCTATTTTTCTTCAAAATGAGAATGATAAATGCATTGTTTCCATCCGATCTGTATTGAACAGATTTAGAAGATGTTTCAACAGTAGTTGCGCCCAATTATTTAAACAGCGACTGTGTATGTCATAAGGACTAAATGATGTCCACAACATTTATTTTAAAGCGCACAATAATAATTTTATTAATTTAATTTATTGTATTTTTATTTTTCAATTGTTTTATATATTGTTTAACTGTTTTATATCCATAAAAAGGTTTTATTTTATAATTAAAGAGTTAAACATTAACCATTAGTTAATACTTAATGTTAAATTCTTTTTCCTTTTATTTTGTCAGGCCTAACTGCCATGGTGATAGCAATAAAATATTGAATATATGTGAAAAATTGTGAAAGTGTTGCAATAATCAACGACTACGACGAGATTTTTTACGCTGGAGAACGGAATGAAGAATGAAGTTTATGGTAAAATAGGAAAAAATGATCGGTATGAAGTTACGATAGTGTGTACCCGTACATATACTTTTTACAATAACGAAGGAACCACTCAATAAATCATATTATTTTTAGATCTTAAAGCAAGAAAAGAAAAGAGAGTTATCAATTATTCTTCAATCAAAAGTTTTAAACTATCAAATTTTTCTTCAAACTACTTTATCAATCGAATAGTGATAGAAAAACTTTTTTTTTGTCAAAATTTTAACGTAGATCGATCATTTCACAATAAAGTCAGTTTGGATGAGAAATAGTTAAATACAATTGTTTAATTTATTTGATAAAATAGAAAAAGACAGTCAAAGATAAGTTTGTTTTGTACACATAATTTAACTTTACCCGTTATCATTCTGAAGTTCAACATACGGTCATGTAGTATCATTATTCTTTGTATGATATATTTTGCAATATGCAAAATCCAATTACATTGATTCGAAAACTCAAACAAAAGATAATCGGTAAAATCGCATAAAATAGATAGAATAATTAAATAATAATAATACTCTTTTCAAAAAATTTCCGCTAATTTTGCACAAATTTTCGATGCTCTACAAATTTTTTTCATCATAATTTATAATTAATAAATATTTTAACAATATGATTCTAGCTAGACACGTCAAATCAATTTCTATCAATCTAGTTTGAATTCTATTAGAACAAACTACAATATGTTGATTATCAATATCGCGACTGCAATCACAATTAATATTCATCTTATTTCAATTCATTCAGCTATTATATCTACATATGACTGTAAACATATTTGTATCTATTTTTTTTTTTTTGTCTATTTTTTTCTAATAGACAGATCACGTTAACATCAACAATTATAGAACGAAAAGAAAAAGAATTGTTTTTTTTCTTCGTTGTTTTTCAAGAACATTGAACAATTTGTAATACATACATTTCAATATTTTGTTCTATTGAACGTGTATTTCTACGTTTACTTTTTAATAGACAAAAAAAAATAAAGAGAAAATTGTTATTTTTAAATAATTTACATGATTGTATGTATGTAGATGACGTATAAAGGAAAAATAATAATAATATAAACAGAGAGACGCAGAAGAAAAAAAGAATTATTTTATGCATTGAAAGAAACTACGTCTTTGTAACTCAACGATACGATACATAGAAGACGAAGAGAAGAGAAAAAAAAAAGTGTATGAAAAACACAGAAAAAAAATGAAGACGAGAAAAAAAGAAAAACTATTGATTATTTATCACATGTTGTATTTTTATCTATCAAGAAACGAGTACTTTTTCTTGTTTTAGACATCAATGACTAATAAAGACGACCAAATACCAATATTAAATAATGAATCCATTACCAATGTTAATGATGGTGATGATGAATTAATTCTTAATATAAGTGAAACAAGAAAAGTTCCGTGTCCAACATGTCATGGAAGTGGAAAAATTCATAAAACCGATTCAACCGGTTTAGTTGCTTTAATTCCATTAAGCGATAAACGATTAAAACCAAAACATACATGGATTTGGATATTATTAACTGTTTTATTTTGTTTTATACTTGCATTTACTTGTATATTTTTTCTTTTACCACGTTCAGTACTTTTACAAATAACAAATAATTTAGTTATTGATGATGTTAATTCTACAAGGACAAATTCGCTATTTTTAATGAAATTTTTACATCATTTTACATTAGATTCAAAAAATTTTGTCCCGGTTAAATTGGTTAATGTCACATGTGTAATTGAAGATAATTTAGAGATTGTTGGAAGATCATATAAAATTTATTCGAATAATATTCGTATATTACCACGTTCAAAACTAAATTTAATAATGCCATTAGAATTAGAATTTCGAAATACAACCGTACCGTTTCGTCAATGTCAAGGTCAATTTAAACAAATGTTATTGATGAAAATACAAACATCAATTATCTACAATGATCTACTCGCACGATCAGAAAGTACATCTCTAATATCTTATCAATATGTTTTATGTAATAAGGGTGTATGGATCAAATAAAATATCTAATCATCTTGTTGTACACTGATTTATAAAATTTTTCGTTAAAAATTTTAATAAAATGAGCCAGCCTTTTTTTATATGATGTCTAATGTTTTTCATTTCACTTTGACAGACTACAGATTCATCTTATCATTAACATTTCGTCTTATTTATACAATACATTCTGAAGTTTAAAAAATTGTCATATTTATCAGTCTTTCAATTATAAATGCACAAAATATGAAAAGTAACAATCACCTTTCGTCTCATCCTGCACTAGTGAGTTCGAGATAGAAAAACTTTATTCTTTCAAACAGTAAAATTTGGCTACTATATTTTTTTTCTCTACATAAATGGAAAAATAAATTCGTATAAAAATACACAATTAATCTGACAGTAAAATCAAAAATATATTTACACAGAACTATTCATTTCTACACAGTATTTGACAAAAATATCTGCTCTTGTTTACTAAGACACATAAACACAAAAACAAGAAAAATGGATAAATAAAATACTAAAAAATTTCAATTAATTCTCATCGAACTGTGATCTCCATCGAATTCATAATCCAAATCAAGAATATTTTCAAATTTTAATTTGCTATATTTTAATTTTTTTCGATTACTTTTTCCTGCTATTGATGGCGATGGTGCTATTGCCGCAGTAGTGTTTGTAACATCACCAAATAAACGTTTACTCGTCGCTTTTGTAGATTGAAAATAAATCTCCTTTTTCTTTTCTGGTGAAGATGCATCTAATGGAATAAACGTTGTAATTAGAGGCGAAGACAAGGAAAAATGTCGACTTGTACGTTTCCAACTTGAAGATGGAGACGATGACATAAGTGGAGAAAGTGAGCTTTTTCGTTTTCGCGAATTGATTGATGTTGAGCCAGATGATGATAATTTTTGTTGTAACTACAAGTGAAGGAAAAAGAATGTTTAATGATACAATACAAAATGATCAGAAAACAGATTCTAACAGATACGTCAACTCTTGCGTAAATAAATCCATCATTTTTGATAGGGAGAGGACAAGGAGAGTGCGCCCATGGGAAAGTTATAGTAGATACTGCCGCGTGTATACCCGTAAACGTCGTGAAACGAAATGTGAGCGCAGGTGAACATCGTTAAATGGTGTGTTGACATGCGTGAAAAAATTATCCGCTTGTGACCAGTCGTGAACAGTTCTTAAAAACATATATGTGACGTTTCTGTCGCGTGACGGCTAATGAAATTCGAAAAGCGTGTAGTGACCGCGCGTGGATTTCTCGCGTTAATATTTTCGTAAAAAAAGTTTCATTTGCAAATACGCGTCAGAATGTCTAGAACGAATTTTATTATAAAAGGTAGCACTTCACATTAATGCACGTGTAATTTTTTCGTGCAGTTCTTTTCTATACATGCTTATCCACAAGTGAAAATGTTTCGATTAGTTAAGAATTCAGTCTTAACTAATTTTCTTAACTAATCTAGAGTTTCAGGTAATTACCTGGAACTTTGTACAAAAGTGTTTACGATAAAATTTTTTGATCGAGAAAGTTTATTTATTTGATCAAATAAATTACACTTATAGTATACTAAAATTCCTCAGTGTGATTTTCCATCTATCCAACTATAGATGGAAAATCTTTGAATTTTTTAAGCAAAATTCTTACTAAGGTCCACGCACGATCTCGCGTAAACATCTTTTCATGCGTGAAATATGGCGAAAATTGATCGGCAAGCATAAGTACAAAATTTATTCCACATTCTCCTTGGTTCAATGATAACGTTACGGATTTGCAAATTTAAAGTGTCTCGATTCTAAATTTCAGGAAATATATACCTCGAAAGCCACAATTGGTTTACGTGTGATCACGCATGAAGATGCGTTCACTTGTGTACACGGGCGCAGATTTTTCATGCAAATTTCCGTGAAGCATTTGCGTGCGTGTTCAAAACAGTATTTTGATCAAATACTTATGAAAAGTTGAGATCTCGATTGTGTGTCGCGAAATGTGTTGTTATTACTCAGCGAGAAGCGTGATATCAAAAACAGTGGGATTGTGATTTCTCATTTTTCTGTCTCTTGAAAATTAGGTAACATTCTCCTCCCCACCCCCGCTACTAACAAAATCCTAGCTTCGACACTAATCATTAAACAGACACTTTCTAACGACAACGTTCAAACTGGCATTTTACCAGAGTTAGGAAAAACTTTTCAGGTCAATTTTTCTTCTCTATTGCTATTCAAACAAAGTTCTATAAAGTTTTGAAGGATATTTGATATAAGATAATTTAACGTACTTTATGAATTTGTATTAAAAGTGAATGAATTTTATCTTCAATACTTTTTATTGTTTTTCTAAGACTTTGTGATAAATTTTGATACTAGAATAAAAGAGAAGAGAATAACATTATTTTGTCTGTAAGGGTAACTTTAAAAACGTACTTGATATAACTTAATAATTAAATTATTGATATATTCTAGTTCCGATTTTGTAAGATATTTGAAATGACAATATTTCAAGACATGTACAAACGATGCTATAACTAATGGTGATTTTGCTTGTGTGTCAGAATGAATTTTCAATAATAAACGTCTAGCCAAACGAAAATGTGGATTGTGTGACTGTTCTTTCTAAAAAAAACAAAAGAAAAAAGGATTAATGCAAGACTTTCAAAGAGAAAAGGCTCAACTAAACTTCGATGATCTGACGAAACTATTGATCAAATGTGAAACACAGTAAAACCTTTCCTGCGTCACCACGAGTCACAGTGGACATATAGGCAGAAGTTTGGCTCGACATCGTAAGTGAGCTTTTTTGAGATTTGAATACCGTCATATATATTTTGGCTAACGACCGATTAAATAACGAAAACATTTTTTTTCTAAGAATTTTCCTTGTTCAGAAAATTGGTAAAGAAAATCTACATACTAATTAGCGCGTTTTTGAAAATGTTGATTGGATATTTCGAACAAAGCGATTGAAACACTTCGTTTTGATATTTTCTGGAGTAGAAAAATGGCAGCTAGTTGATGCTGAAAAAAATTTTGTTTTACCTTAAAAGGTATGGATAAAAAATCCGTAGTTTTTTCCAGAACATCTCTTTTCCTCGCTACGTCACCAGTGCAATTGACTTCCTAAATTTTCTTAAACTGTAATAACGTTCAAATTTACAACAAACGTTCATCTCGGTGTCTTGCATCTATAGCGCATGCGGTTTTATGCGGTTTTTTGATTAGACGAAGATAGAAGTTTTCTAAAAAAACTCTGGTTTTTAAGGTAAAGTTGAGTTTTCTTATATCAAAAACAATTTTATCAAGACAAATTATACATATTCGGAATTAGCGTAAACAACTACATCGAGTGATATATCAGTTATTAGTTTTCCAAATAAAAAATTGTTTGACAAAAATTTAGCAAAAGAGTCCTCCTCAAGATTTTTCATCGGAAAAGAATTTTTTTTCTAATTTGACTTTTCTTACTTCTATTAAAATTTGACACATAATAAGACAATATTATGCGAAAATAATCATTTTTTAACTCATAAAATCAGATGTGTGCCTGCTCTATGGAAAAATGCCCATTGTGCGAGTTGTTGTTTTTTTTTAGTTTTGCTCATTCTAAATTCTGGACTGAAGAAACATTTGTTGTAAAATTGCCGTTTCTTTGTAAACTTTAATACATATGACAGGTAAGAATTTTGACTTTTTCTTGTCAGGTCACTCTTAAACAAAATTAAAAGCAAAATTACTTCATCTTGTTCAGGAATATGATCTAAATCTGCCACATGAACTGGTAACGTTGGTAATGATAATAATTCAATACAATATTTACACATTGCATCGATTTGAACAAATATGTACTTAACATTTAACTTTTTATTGTCAGAAAATGGATAATTCAATGTAATAGTTCGATAAAAAAATTCTTCAAATAATTGTAAGTTGTCCCTAAATTTCAAATAGACACCATTTTAACAAACAAATATACATTGTTAATAGGAAATAAATTTCAAAATTTACTCACGTTGATGTATGAACAAAAAAATAGAAAAATTTTTTAATTAAACATTTTGTTTCGGCAATAAGATCTTTATTTGCATGGCAGTAACGATGATGTTCATCATTTGTGAAGAGAAATGTCAGTAACAATGATAAAAAATAATAGGATTGTAAGCGATTACTTAGTATCAATTTTATAAGACCATTAACAACAACACATTGCATATCAATTGACTAATACAAAATAAGAAAAAAAACGAGATATAAATATTTAGCAATTATCATCACATTATTCCACACTTACATTTTCTTTGTAGAGACCATTGAGAAAACTTTTTATTAAATATCTTAATTCATTTACTTTCTCTTCTTTACTTTCATTTTCATTATTCATCGTTGTTAGTTTTTCTAGACCATGCATCAATATTATATCGATTATAATCTGAACAGCTTGTGTACGTATTTCATCATTTGAATTCAAATTGATAGTCTATTGTCAAAAAAAAAAAAAATAAACTAGGTCATTTTTCTTTGTGTCTACAGAGACAAAAAAAGAAGAAAAAAAAACATACACAAACGGTGACCAATTGCTGAACACGATTACAAGCTTCTTCGCTACTATCACGAGATAATGAATAAATGACTTCGAGTGTTTTTCCACGAATTTGGCAATCGGAATCTTGTAAGCCAGGTATAATCTAAAATGAGATAAAGAAAAAAACTAGGTACATTTTATAGGACCATTGGTGAAAATTCAAGTGAAAGCAATTTTAAGCATAAATCAAAAGTAAGATGATGTTTTTGAAAATAACGATTATTGTTTTTCAAACGAGGACAAATAAGGAGTGTTCAAAGAAAAAAATATTCAAATGAGTTTTATGCACCGTACATTGATATGTTGTTTCTTTTAATATTTATATTCATCAATCTTATCTTTTTGAATATATTTACCAGTGAATTTAGTACTTCTAAAAATGATTGATCAGCCCATATATTAATTCCATCATTTCTTTTCTCGTTTTCATGATCAATATAAGTTCGCATTATTGTTATACATTTAATAAATGATAATTTTTGTTCTTGTTCAAAATCTTTTTCAAATTGTTTCTCGTGTTGTTTTTGTTCTTCTATACAACGTTTAATTATGTCATTAATTGTATGAGCGATGAATACTGTTTGCTTTTTCCAATCATTATTAAAAACTAAATCATTTAACACAAATGTATATTTAACAATGAGACAATTGTAACCATAATGAATAAATAGAACGCAACAAATTGCTTCAATACATTTTCGAATATAAGCATCAGCTGTATCATATTTACATAAGATTAAAACATGTTCACTAATTATATATTCAAAATATTGACTGTATTCATTTGGAATATCAACAACTTTTTTGCATAATTTATAGAAAAAAGCAAGAAATTTATGAAAATCAGGTTGAATTGTACAAAATTCATTATCATCATCCATTTCTTCTAGTTGACAAAGTAAACGCCATAAAAATAAATATTCAATATAATTTGGCATAGTTACAGGCAACAAACCACTAAAACATAAAGAAAATAAAACTGATAAGTGTTTTTCTCCAATACATAAAGATGAGATTCATTCGATAAGTGAGTCAGTTCCATGAAGAGACTAAAGCGATAGGTTAAAAGATAAGAGTCTATAGCAGAAATCGAAATCAAATAATCCGATAGAATTAAATGATTTCATGTTTGTTACTCAATCGTAAATTAATATCTGTTTGTCGTCTACATGAGAAGAGATGTTCACTACTGAATTTTTTCAGTTCTATAAACTTTTCTCTCATATTCTTTTGACAGTTTATTGATTAGTATTTCAAGAATACTGCAAGTTAATGCCATTAAAAAACCGTTAAGTCAGAGATATTGACTTACTTATTTATTGATAGTTTATCAAGTAAATGCGTTCGTAATGTAAAACGAATTTGATTATCAATGAGAAAATGTTTTAATGTTGTTTCAATTAATTCAATTTTTGTTGTAATACACTGTGATAATTGAGATAGAATAAAAATAAAATCTCCATTTGTCCATGTCATCCATCTTGTATACAATATTTTTGACCATTGTTTACAATAATTTGCATTTTTAGTCATTGTACATAAGATATCGATTAATTTCATTCGTTGCTGTTCACATAATCGCTCAATTGTATAACCCCGCTCATCATCTAATAATGTATCGAATGATTGTTGACGAATAGACGAGTCTTCATGTTTACACAAATAATCTAATAATAAATCAATTGACGATTTTGAACAATGAAGTAATTGTATGATTTTATGATGATAACAATAGCGATTTTGTATCATGAATTCATTTTTTAAACGTTCAATAAATGCTAAGAAAAAACAGCAAACATAAAACGATAGATTAAACACTTTAAACGTACTTTGGTTCTCATCTTATCTGAATTAAATAAAGCGTCAGGTTAATGATTCCATCTATCGTGTATAGAATCGAGAACAAACTGTTCTACATACCTAATACCAGATGGTCCAGAAATAATTAATCACTTTGGAAGCTAAATTTCTCTAATTGAAATAGTGTTTTAGAGTTTCATTTTATAATTAAACGATGTAGATTTGATTTTAGGATTAGTTGACTTTCATCAACATAACATTTAAAAGTACTAGAGTGTCCGCCCCCCACTTTGTAAAATTTTCCTATCCAAACTTTAATTTTTCGCAAAAGGTTTTTGATCGTTCAATTTAACTTTTTCTATGATTATTCTCTTGTCAAAATATGTGTATTTTCAAGTCCTACAAGATGCATCATTTTTCTAAAAAGTTATTGTTTCTCTTCGCCAGAAACCATGCATAAAATTGGATATGACGCTAATTAAGTAAAAATTATAGTCCCAAAGGAATTTCGGAAACCTTTTCCAAACCACATACAATTGATGCAAAACTTCACTCTAATGGCGAATAGCATCTTCAAAACTCAAAAAAAATGGCGTCGTCATAGAGAAGTTTACTAAATAGTGATACTAGCACATAATCCATAGATTTTACCCTGCTCTCGACTGAAAAACATACTTCTAAAACTTTATAAAGTTATCACATGTACGTAGACAAGAAGAAAGAGAAAATATTTCAACCATGAATAATAAATTCTGACAACTTTATATTATCACATGTTCGAACACTGCATGATAAAACTATACAAGGGCGATATCAGCCATTCATCGAGGCGATTTTTACCATTTAATAAATTCGATTGATACTATTACATTCATGACTCCTAATGTGCTTCTCCCGAATTTTTTGTGAATGCACTTAGACATGCTAAAATTTCTATGTCTAGTTCGATTAATAAACGTGCATATTCGACCGTAACACTATTCAGATGTTAAGATCTACTTATGTTAATTAAACATTCATAACTCAGTCAAAAGCGATTGAAACTACTTTGAAATATCAAGATATACTCTATTTCATCTGCGCTATCCCATGAAGTTCAACAAACGTTTTCAAAAACTAATAGAAAACAGTTTGATTTTTGGAAAGGTTTTCTACAAAATCTTTGGAAGTAACAGAATATTTTTTATTAAAGTAATCAGATTGAGAGAGTAAAATAGAGTATATCTAGGTCTTCTGAACGCTGTCCCGAAATGTTACGGTAAATATGTAACAATGTCATGCTAAAAGTGTGACAATAGCGTGACATTGTTACACATTTACCGTAACATTTCGGAACAAGGTATTCGTGTAGTCAAGTCAATAGGAAAATGTGTTTATGCGCGCGCGTCTGTTGTTAACCAAGTTTCCACCAACCAGCCGATCAACAATTAACGAATCAGATGCTGAAAACTGTCCTGTAGAAATACTTCATGCAGTCACAACTCACATACTTATGCAGACAGAACTGAACCTTGAATGTCATATCATTGGCCAATGCTGAGAAATGTGTGTGCAGTGTCATTTTCAGCTTCAACTTGAATTTATTTTCTAAACAGTTTTAATCAAAAGTAGAATAACTTGTGTCATTGTGACAACGAGTCGAGAGTAAGAAAAAAGGATAATTACATTCAAAAAAATGTAAACAACTATGTTATTCGTCATCATTGTTTTAAGTTTTGCGATTGAGTTAATTGATTGCAGTAGAACGTAACTTTTTTGATAGAACCCGGCGACATTCTAAAATACAGAAACTTTAATGTATATTTATTATGAGAATTTTTGCTTGAATGAAGTTATAATCAGATATACTAGATTAAACGGCGAAAGTGGATGTTTTTCATCGTAAAGCTTATCGAAATACGAAAAGTGAAATTATTTTTGACGAGAAGAAAGATGATAATTCTAGTTTTGTGAGAAGTGCTGGAACTATTGATATATTCTTTTAAATTTAAACAGTTCTTTCTGTTCTATCCTTATCTCACAATCAGTCTAAGTGAACATGATATACTAATAGAATATGATTTACTAAACTAAATGGAAAAATAAAACGTCTGAGAGTAGACTTAGTGTTATGAATACAGGATTTAATATTTATTAATTAATCTTTAACCACAAGAAAAGCTATCTGTGCGAACTTTTGTTATATTGTCTGTGCATCATTGAAAAAGATGAGCACATGATTTATAGATATGATGCAACTGAAACCATTTATCCCACTCTTTAACACGATTCGCGGCAAGAGATGGAGAATACAGGTTCACTTTTCTGCTCGGAAAAAATGAAAACAAAAACTGTTTGTTCTACTGGTATAGATAAAAAATTTTATGGCTCAGATATATATTGGCGTTCCCCATTCTTTTTCTTTGATACCTGTTCGTTTTTTTTAAATTCAATTTTATGTGATGATTATTGTACTGTATATTTCAGATAGATTAGTTTGTCTTTTATTTAACATTGTTTGTGTTCTAAAGTTATTTTTGTTTTGTTTCTGTATAATGGTAAGTGTTTCTCTGGTTTCTTACTCATTGTCTCACTTTGAATATGAAGAGCGAAGTTGAACAAAACAAGCTTGTAATTAAGCCAAATGAGTGTTACGAGTGTTGGTCACTAGATGCAGTGACTAACTCAAAGATTTTACAATTGCATCGTACAAATCCTATTTATATGAATTATGTCAACTACAAATCAGCATGTTTTCTATTACTTTTTTCCATCTTTTAGGCTCGTACAAATCCTAATATAATGCCTGAGGTTTCGGTATGTTTGCGTGATGCAATGAATAGTCTATTCGATTCTTCATCATCAAGTCAAAATAGTCATAGTACTGCGTTATCGTGTACAACAAATGGTTCTAACAGTGATTACGATTCGTTTATCGATGTCATTGGTCTTGATGATAAAAACGGTAATGATAACAGTGATCTAATTAAAAAACGTAAAATATTTGAAGATGAAACGAGCAAATTAGAAATGAAACAAATGTCTGATGCTTCAACAGGAACCAAACGATTTTGTAGTGTAACTAATAGTAAAATAATCTAATTGATATTGACAATCTCATTTAGTATAGAATAAACTCTACTGTCGTATAGTCAGATGTAAGGAGAAAAACGGATTAGTAAGTGCATATTTTCGTGTAGGTTTTCATTTCTCTATGCCTTTTGTCTATCTGTAATCTTCATCAAATGTGATTCCCAACTTATTGTTGTTATTTTTTTCGTATTAACTGTTGTATGTATAACCTCTTTGCGTGTAGTTATTAATGTTTCTGTATCAGAAATATATTCAAAGAAAAAAAAAATTCGAGACACAAAAATTCTTTAAAAAGTTAGATATGTGCAACATCATCGTTTTTTACTTATTCTGGAATAATTGTTCAAGATTAAAGAAAATTATTTTGTCTACCAGATAGATTTAACAATTCGCTTTTTCTACCACAAGGTTTTATCGTTTCACATTTCAGAAACAAAAATACACGAACTAGAATTATTTCAATTTAACATATATCTGTGCCACTCTAAACCATAGTATGGCTATAAAAAAATATACTTTATACACATTGATTTACTTTGCAATTGTAAAAAATTTTCAGCCACAACTAAAGTAACTTCAATGTTTAACATCTAGAAGACTTATTTATGAACTCACATGAATGGATTGACATAACATAATGTTACTTTTATTTCCTTATGCTATTTCGCTATTCTAAATAAAAAGTTTTTAATTATTAATTACAAATAACTACAAAGACTAGTCTACAAAATTTTTATAAAAACAACGTGGCAAAAACATTAATGTACAAATAAAATTAAGCAAAAAATTCGTGCCAATATTACCATCAAACAATTGAACTAAGCATGCAACAAATGAATACTACAAAGAAAAAAGGAAATGTATGTACAATTGAAAAGATAAAAAAAAAACGACAAAAATGTCAAAAGTTATTTTAAAAATATGGATATTATCTGACAAAAAAAAATTTGCTTAAATCTCTATGTGGTTAGTTCTTTAATTTGTTTTTGAATATTTTCAATTATTGTATTAATCGATTTTTGACGATTTATTTTCACATATTCTTTTCCACGGCATTTGATGAGACTTAACCATTCATTAAAATGTGAAGTTAGATATAGAATTGATTCCATACATTGTGCTAGAAAAATAAAAAAAATAAGAATTGAAAATTACGAGTGAATTTAATATTAATCTATGTGTATAGATTCTCTTTAAAAAAAAATTTTTTTCCAAAGTGAATGATTAACAAGATCAGATATGACCGAACACACAGTACGACTACAAAACAGTTTTTCTCGAGTACAAATTTTTAGAATAGAAAAAGGATTGTTTATTTGTGTCAGGGAATTTTTCTTGTACTGATACAATGGCAGAAGCGTATCCGACTTCTAGTTGTTAGTTGCTGGATAACGAGAGAGAAAACGTTTTGTTTTGTGATGAATTATATCGATCAGTCTTAGACTCTGCACTTAATCTACTTGTATTCTTTATTTGAACTATTCATACCAACATGAGAAACTTACCCCCTCCTCTTTTTTGCTGAAAAGTTTTCATTCTGAGCTGAACATAGTCTAATGTAGAAGAACTCTGGACTATAAAATGAGACCACTCCGAGCTCTTCATGACCGTCCTTGCAAAAACGATGAAGTTTTTAAGCTTTTCCTTCAAAGCCTAGAAAATCTCAATTTTTTAGATTCGTAAATCTTTCTCTCGTTTCCTATATATTCAGAATTTTTTCTTATACATAGCATGATAGAAGAAAGTGTGCTCTTCAAAATGAGATGTTTCCCAGAATTTTCCGATGAGTTTTCTTGGAGATATAAGCATAGCCGCAAATGCCCTGAAAAACAGAGCCCTGTGTACAATATGTTTTACTCACTGTGCGTTTTTTCCATAGTCCCTTGAATTCAGTCACATTACGACTCCTCGATAAAATGGTCCGATCGAGGTCAACATTTTACCAGAGATACTTCAGGCCCTACCTCAGGTTCGTTTTTTTAAAAAGCGTTTTCGATTTCAACTTTCGGTGTGAGAAGGTTTTCAAAATAAAAAACAGGTTTTTTATATGGGATTTTCAGTATTTTTCGAATATCTCGAGAAGGAAAGAATATTTTTTGAAAAGAAAAAAAACAATCTGAGATAGGGTCTGAGGTATCTGTGGTAGAATTTTAAGCTCGATCGGACCATTTTTTCGAGGGGTCGTAATGTGACTGGATGAAAACGGGAGATTCCCAGAAAACCCATAGAAGAACACGTCAGAAAATTCTGGGCAAAAATACTTCGATTTTCTTTTTCGATGTTCTATCTCTGGTATAAATTTGAACCAGATCCGACATCGACTTCCGCGGTTTCCAAGAGGGTAAAAAAAAGAGGGGGTACCCTTAAGAACATCTTCTTTTTGATAACCCTAATAGATCCTGGAGTTATTGAATCGAGTACTCCTTAAAAGAATTGTGAGTATCCAAAAAAGTCATATTCATCCATCTTTGGAGAAATAGTCATTTTTTAAGACAAACTTCTAGTGCAAGACATATTGCATTCTCGAATAAGTAGAGTTTGATGTTTAATGGTGTTTCAACAAACGGCCAGCATTAAAAGGTTTATATTTACCATAAGATAAATTAGATGTATGACAATCTCTCAATTGTTTACACACACGATCAATGTCGACTGATATCTGACGTTCTAATATAAAATATTGTTGAATAATTTCTATTGATTGCTGAAGACGATGCAACAAATCCAATGTAGTTTGTTTATTGCCATTATTGTCAATCATATGCAAACAAAGTTTTTCTTTTTCTTTTAAACGAATCTTAATACAAGAAAAATGATCAATAAAACTAAATTCATCTTTCGATATTAAATTTACCTTTTCAACCAATGAAGCAGATATGCTAGACAGTGTTTTTGAATCTGGTACAGATGTTGGAGGCAAAGAAACGATATTGATATCTGACGATGACTTATTATCAAATATATTGAACAAAGCCCTTTTGACCTAAACACGAAAAAATTAATATTTCTGTTGATGGCATTGGGACCAACATACTCGTTCAGATTTTGTTGTTTGTGCATGAGCTAATAGATCGATTGTCGTGGCAATATTTTTCTTTTCTACCGCATCAGGCGCTACGGGTAAATCAGCAACATCTATGTCGGGAATGTTTTCAAGATCAAATTCTGGATGCCATCGTATCAAATTTTCTTCTGGAATGTTCACTGCTGGACACAAAGTTGCCAAAAATTTCTTTGAAAAAAAACGAAAAGAAGAGAGGATTATGATTGATGATATTAAACAACATTTGATTGAGAAACTTACTCTATGAAATGACTTGACAATATCGATTAATTTTAATCGAAATCGCGTTAAACGTTCGACAATCATTGATGCATCAATCTGAATTGATTTCAACCGATCGTTGTTAATATCTAAATCTGAATAAAACAGAGAAACATAAATAATTTATTTGTTAATGATTGACATTTTTACCAATTAGACATGGATAAATAGTCAATTCATATTTGAGTTTTACAGGACTTAGTGTTGGTAATTGTATCTTTTCTTGACGAAATTCGTACATATTTGGACAAACAGTTTTCATTTTTCCGAGCGTTGATAACTCAAAATTTCTAAAAATATGATAATGATATGCCACATATAAATCATTATGAGAATGTACAACATACTTTTTCGTCTTTTGTTGTATTAATTCTTTTACTTTCAAAAATGTGCATATTCCTTGTTGATTATGCGTATGACAAACAAGAAAATCGACATGTTTGTATTGTTCGAATAGAAGTTTATATTTGTATGGTAATATTAAATCGGCCGAACATGATTTATTAGCCAAATTTTGGAAACGCTGATAAGCAGGAATCGATGAAATACTGGAAAAGAAAAAAGAAAACACGTAGATTATCAATAGTACTTGTTACTGTGTTGAAAAGTAACAAAACTGTCACTTATTAGCCCTAATAAGGTAGCAAAGACTTGGTAAAGTAACAAAGAAACGAACTATTTTTAGAAAACCGATGTATATTTTTTCAAACAAAGAATAAGAACAATGTACATTTTCCGACTACTACCATACGCGTGTGTAGAAATTAACTGAACAAAGACGTGCGTTAGTTCGGTTACAATAAAGCCGTCGAAAAAACGCAATTTAACAACACGTGTTTGTACCGTTGATTTCTACATACGGGTATGATAGTAACTGGAAAATGTGCATTGTTCTCATTCTTTCTTCTTTACTAAACACGTGTTTATACCATTGAAGGATTTACTCAGGAATGAAAAAAAATTTTCTCTGTGAATTAAAACAATTTAATAAGAGAAAATTGCTTAAAAACTGGACTGGTAGTAACACCTGCTCGAAAAGGGTGGAACATGTGATAAATTATTATCTGGAAATGTTTACTAACCATATGTGACCATTAAAGATTGTTGTTCGTTTTCTAAATTTCTCATAAGTGGTTATAGTTCTGTACGGAAAGCATTTTAGACTTTTAGAAAGTTCGCAAATTGTTGAAAACAGAAAAAATGTTCTCTTTTTCCGACTTAGGAATCCATGCTCCAGAGGTGCAGAATCTCCTCATGCGTCCTCGCACTAGGGGGGCAATTTTTGTAAAATTGTCACACTGAGGAAATTTTTGTAAAAAACTGTTAGAAGGGGAAACCTTGTTCTCTTCATAATTAACTGTTTGTTATCAAGGTCAACCTCGATGATCATTATTGTGGATTATTCCAGTACGTATGAATACATGATATATTGGTTTTCTCTACTGACAATGATATATTATCTGTTGATTTTTTCCTATATGTTACACTAGGTTTTTTCCTATTCTCTGTGTTCGTCTATCTATATATACACGTGTCATCAAGTCCTCCCTCAACAACTACTTCTTTCAATTGAAAGACAAACACTGGATTTTCTTCAAAAAAACAGCACAGTATCGTCTATTCAAATTAGTATCACCTGGTTCGGTTGTTTTGAACCGCTTGAAAAAAGGACAAGTAGAAAGAATTCCTATGTTGTACGAACAGTAACGAACAGAACAAAATGTTGCCATGTTTTTTTTACTTCTATGGTGTCAAATAAAGTTGGTCTATGAGCGGCGAAGATAAAACAGCTTGGGGAAATTTTGAAAAAGCTTTCCTCGCTCATTGCAATCAGTTATGCTAAAATCGTGTTTGTAACAATTCAAAACAATAACTAGTCTGATTTTAACTATAATGTTGCTTGAATTTCAATCATTATGAGGAAATCTAGTAGTTGCACGTATCAAACTGTTTGTTACCATCTGTTCTTTACGTATCCGATTATTAATGAAGTCATAAGAGCATATTTAGAGAAAAAAATTTGTTGTCTAAGGACATCAACTTACTTTTTTTTCAATGGTGTTTGATTTCGAATTGGTGATTGCAATGTTACAGTTTTGAACGGACTATGTTTTATTGGACTATGTTTCATTGGACTTTTTTTGATTGGTGATGATAGTGGTGAACGATTAAATGAACCGTATTTTTGACGATATTTTTGTAAATCTTTATTGAATGTTTTGACACGCTCTCGAATTTCATCTAAATTTTCATCTTCCAATAGTTTTTCACGTAACTGAACATAATTTCCATTAAGTATTGATTTTGACAACGAGAGTGGACGGATGAATTTTAATGGTGATTGAGGCAGTTTTTTTTCCAATAATGTTTCTTGTTCTTTGGTTGGCATTTCAATAAATTTTGACTCTTCTTGGGTGATATTTTGTTTTTTACACCAATTTGTTAATGTCGATTGTCCATCTAATGTCGATAATGGTTTGGATACTTCAGCCTGATAAGGCTGATTCTTTAACAAAGGATCTATTAACAACGATGATGATAATGGTTTTTCATCAATAATATCGAGTTCAATTTTGGCTTTTTTTATCGGTCGATCAAATGTATTTGATAAACGGCGTTTTGTATAATAATCGGTCAAAGCTGATTGTATCATGATAGGAGGTAGATTTTCTACAAAAAAAAGAAAGTTGACCAAACAGTATATAACGGAGAAAAAGATAAATATTGATCAACATTTCACAGTAACAGTTCTTGGATACAAGAGACTTCATCTCACAATAAATCCAAAAAATTGTCTGAGCGGGCAATTCTTTAGTATTCTAAAACAAAGAAATTTGATATTCACGCCAGTGATTATTTCAATTTTTTCTGTATGAAACTAAAGGGGAAATCGGGATGTAGTTTGAGCCCTGACGAGGGAACGTTTCTAGGTGTGCCACTACTTTTATCATAAAACCTACTTGATTTATGGTTAACTCTTGATGCTGATCTCGAACCTGATATTCATTTATGCTGCTAAGCGTTTCTATCATAGATCTCTGAAAACCCTTCTTAAAATTTGAATTGGAGAGATACTTGGTCCATATTGTAGAGCATATCGAATTACTTGAAGGAAAAAGCTTTTGGACCTTACAAATATGTTTTGGTTGAACTATGATGTTTTTTAACCAAAATACATTTACAACTATTCATAAGATTGTTAGTAAAGTTTTTGTATCTCAGACAAAACGTATTTGTTAGGTCCAGGAGATTTTTCCTTTAAGTAATCCGACATGCTCTACAATATGGCCCAAGTATCTCTAAAATTCAGATTTTAAGGAGGGTCGGATGTTTAGAAATCTAACGCATGCGGCATAAATAATGACGCGAATATTTCATCCATATCTCGATGAGTTTTCATTATAGAGACTTGAGCGTAGTCTCAAACGATTTTCCATTTAATTCTCTACAAAACCCTAACAAAAGGGCACACGCAACAAATAATCATGAATTCATAGACTGTCTAAAACACTGCCATGTCCCAAACGGGAGCACTTTCCAATCAAAATTACGTTTTGTTTTTATTTTTTCGCCGCATAGAGAAAGACTGAATATGCCATTTTATAGCTCTTGCAATGACCTATCAGTTGCGAAACAATTGATAAGTTTTTCATTTTAAGCCTTTGTGATCGAGACCTTTTCTCTTTTATTTCATATTCGGTTTTCTACGCCCTGCTAATGGGGCTTGTTGTAAATTCTGTACAGTTAGGACAAAGTGTAACGTTTTCTTGCCAATTTTGTTTTGCAAAGCTGCAGAAAAATGTTTTCTCTTTATCGTCTCTAACCAACCCAATTGGCGTACGAGTCTTCTTTTAGCACACATAGTACGCGGGAGGAAAATGCTCCCTGGTTCTAACTCGTTTTTCAAGGAAATCTACCACAAGCAACTCTTTTGAAGTGCTGTGAGAAACAGCACGTCCGAAAACATGGAAGAACCCACATTAGAGTGCGTTCGAGATATTGATGGAATAATGGCGGTATCATTATTTATGCGGCACCCGTTATAATAGAAACGCTTAGCAGCACAAATGAGTATCAGATTCGAGATCTTTTTTTTTGCATATGCATCTCGAGATAGCTTTTATAAAAAGACATCAACACTAGTTCAATCTTTTGTATACAAATACTTTAATTTGCCACCTTAAATATACTTCCTTTTTTTAGTTTGTATTTGTTTAACAACAGAAGTTTTTAATTTCTGCCCAGTTTACATTTTTCAACTTCTTGATGTGTGCATGATTCAAGATAAAATTGAAACTCTTATTGCTTAATCCTGTCTTAAATCCTTCCACCCATCTTTTATTTTTTATCGTGTTACGTGTATTTTATATGAATCTTTTTTTTGTTAACCTATTTCAAGGAACAATAAACTATCTCAATGTTAAAAAAAAAAAAAATAGCAACTCTACAATCGACGATGATTTCGGCTGTAATAATCTATTGGGCTTTGTCGACATTCACGGATTATTCCATGCCCCTTCTAAAAAGAGTATGCCAGATGGCGCTCTTTATTTAACAATTGGTGATTTGTAAGATCTAATAATATCATTCGCACTCATCCATAAAATATAATAAATAAACTACGGAAAAACTGTCTTGCCGCATTTTCTTCCTTTTCTCTCACAAACACTTGCTGCTATATGTTATTTTTAGCAAACTAGCTTCCTCCTCTGCCTTCGAACTTGTTGTAACGTTGAATAAATTGAGTGCTTGACATATTTACGATTTAATGCGACTATAAACATGGTAGCCGATTACTTTATCGGCAGCGAAAAATTCCAAAAAAGTTTTCCATCTTGGATGTGAAAATTTTTAAGAAGACTTATCACACTGGGAAAATTTCTGCTTCTTTGAGACGTCTCAAAATGTGGTAAATTAAGGTAGGAAATTTTTAACACCTTGTGTTTAGTTCACGAGGTTAAGTAAAGTAATTTTATCATAACGATTGGCCACCTCACTGATGACGTAGAAGAGTGGGTTGCAGACTAATGGTAAAAGGAGACACGAGAAGAATGAAGCAGCGTTCATCAATGCCCCATATTAGAGATAAATATCAACATAATGTCTGTTTCTGTCTTTTGCACATTATCCTAGTTAATAGCACAGAAAAGTTCTAATTTTCAATAATTCTTTTCTCCAAGATTTTTGAAAAAGTTTTGAGAAATTTTTTTATCAGTGGTGACTGTATAAAAGTTGAAAAAATATTCGGTCTATGACAGTCGCAGCATAAAATTGTAAAATTTTCTTTCAGCGGCGTCACCGGCACGGCCACCACCTCTAAATGCGACATAATTAAAGTTTTCTCTTGGTTTATGATAGTCATTATATTCTGGCTTTTTTAATGTGGTTAAAGACTGAACTCACAAAGTGGTTAGCCCTTATCTTTATGCGTTAAGGTATGATGATACTAAAATTCTGTGAAAAAAAATGGAAAAATTTTAGCCATAAATCTCTTTTTCCTTCTGATATTTATTTCTCACTCATTTTGAAAATTGAGACGAATTTTAGATCGATGAAATGTTCTCTCAAGTACCGCTACGTATATCCAAAGTAAGATCTGTTGCAGTCGTTTCTTTTTATTAAAGAACAATTTGCTACTTTCAGGCCACAACAACTTTTCAAAAATGTTTAAAATGTTCCATTAATCAAGTGCGATATGCGTCATCTAGTGGAAGTGGTCTGTGTCTTATCTTAAGTTAATTCGATTCTTTTTATTCGTTTTTCGTTTCTTTTAAGATCAATATGATTTAGTTGTAATTGGATCCGGACCGGGTGGTTATGTTGCCGCTATAAAAGCAGCACAACTTGGTCTGAAGGTATATTCAAGAGAGACAAAATCTATTTTAAGGATCATGCTACGTATAATCATTTTAATAGACAGCGTGTGTTGAAAAAAATGCGACTTATGGGGGCACATGTTTAAATGTTGGGTGTATACCATCGAAAGCAATGTTACACAATTCACATTTATATCATTTAGCTAAACATGGCGAATTACAGAAACGGGGTGTTGAACGTAAGTAGAAAGAAACAACGTTAAAATATTTCTTTATATTTAGTTATTCGATTGTTTTTAGTTCAAGGAGTAAATTTAAATCTGCCGGTGTTTATGAAGCAAAAAGAAGATGCTGTCAAAGGTTTAACGAATGGTGTAGCTTATTTATTTAAAAATAATAAGGTAAGTACTTGTTTACAATATTGTAATAAGGATTCCCATTATCTAATATCATTGGTTTGGTTTTATAAAAAAAAAAGACAAGTGTTTCGTTTTTACATGCCAAATATTTTCGTATATACTGAAATCCTGACTTGCTGTAGCATTCAGTTTGCTTTTTCGGCTTGTATTTACTATTTTTACGCTTTTTACAGGTAACAGGCTATCGAGGTTTTGGTTCAATAAGTGGAGAAAATCAAGTGACAGTGAAAAAAGACGATGGATCAACTGAAACATTAAATGCAAAAAATATTTTGATAGCTGTTGGTTCCGAAGTGACACCATTTCCTGGTATAGAGGTATGATAGATTATTCAACAAATTTCATTTTGTACTAATAGTATGTCATCTTTCTCTATTAAACAGATTGACGAAGAAACAATTGTTTCATCAACAGGAGCATTATCATTAAAACAAGTACCAAAGAAAATGGTACTTATTGGTGCCGGCGTTATTGGACTTGAATTGGTATGTTAAAGTTTTATTTTCAGTTTTAAAAGTTTTATTCAGTTGATTTAATTTTGTACTTCTAAAGGGTTCAGTATGGAGTCGTCTTGGTGCAGAAGTTATTTGTGTTGAATTTTTAAGTCATATTGGAGGTTTAGGCATCGATATGGAAATATCAAAACAATTTCAGAAAGTTCTAACCAAACAAGGTTTAAAATTTAAAATGGATACAAAAGTGACTGGTGCCGAAAAAACTGATTCAGGACTTAAAGTACATGTTGAAGGAGCCAAAGGAGGCGATACAAAAGAAACGGTAATAATAATTAAAAATATATATTAGATATAATTATTTTGAATTTTCTCTTAGCTCGATTGTGATACAGTATTAGTTTGTATTGGACGAAGACCATATACGAAGGATCTTGGTCTAGACAGTGTTGGTAAGACGACACTATTCAATAAAAGAATATGAATTCAATTTGTAATTTTATTTTGTAGGCATCACAGTGGATAAACGTGGAAGAATTGAAGTGGATAAATTTTTTAAAACGGCGTCCAAAAAGTAAATAATACTTTAGAACTAGAAATGGTGTTTATTTCTTTTATATTAATTAAATTAGTATTTATGCAATTGGAGATTGTATCAAAGGTCCAATGTTAGCACACAAAGCTGAAGATGAAGGTATTATATGTGTTGAAAGTATTATATCTGGACATGAACCACATATCGATTACAACTGTGTACCCTCAGTTATATACACATTTCCCGAAGTTGCATGGTATGATAATTTGTGAACTATTGAACTCATTGAAAAATAGTTACAATAATCTTTTATTCAACAGGATTGGAAAATCTGAAGAACAATTAAAAGAAGAAGTATATAACATTTTCATTAATTAATATGAAATTTATTTTATTATCTTCTTCTTTTAGGGTATTAAATATAAAGTTGGAAGATTTCCAATGGCGGCGAATAGTCGAGCAAAAACAATCAACGAACCAGAAGGATTTGTTAAAGTTTTAGCAGATGAAAAAACGGATCGATTACTTGGCGCACATATAATCAATTCGGTTGGTACTATATTTTCTGTCTTTTTATAATTATTGAATTTATATTCTGTTTAGGTTGCCGGTGAATTAATTAACGAAGCTTCACTTGCACTTGAATACGGTGCTTCTTGTGAAGATATCGCTCGAGTTTGTCATGCCCATCCGGTATGTATGAAAAAATATAGTTATGCAAATTAACATCATTTTCGTTGGTTTTTACTTTAGACATGGTCTGAATCATTCAAAGAGGCAAATTTACAAGCGTATGCTGGAAAAGCAATTAATTTTTCATAAAATAAAGTGAAATAATAACAGTTTTATTTCCTATTTTCGATAGTGCGTGTTCAAGAGCTCTCCGATAAGCCATTTTCTACAGTTAAAGACTTGATCCAAAATGTTTGTCTCTTATAATTTATGTTTATTTCTCGCTCTCTCTCTCTCTCATTTTGGTATCCACACAAAATTCTATTTTTCAAGAAACGTGATTGTAGTAATTATTTCATTCACGTTTTTCTTTTTTCGCATTTGTAGTTTATTGTCATCGTTTTATTTCTTTGTTAATCATGTCCACACAAATAACAGTGTTTTAGCAAAAATTAAAGCAAAAAAAAAATAGATAGTTGATTTTTAAATTCGCCATAGAAGTTATTCTATCTGAAAAAATGTAGACAGAAAATTGTTTCGTTATTTTCTAAGCTCAGTTCTATTCCATTCAAAGACAAAATTAGATCAAAATAAACAGTCACTTACGAGTTTATTGTGTAACGTCATCGTTTTCCTTTCATTTATCTCTTGGCTCTATTCAGTTGCTACTTCTTCCCCATTACTTATGTTAACAAGAAACTAGCGTCACCTGCTCTCAACGTCAATAACCGAATGTTTTATATAAAACGTTCGTGAAAATTTGCAATACAGAGAATAGACGATTAAAAATGAAACACATTTAACATTTTTCTTAGAGGAAATAAATATCCAATTGAATATAAACTAACAGAGTTTGATTTTTTTGAAATATCGATCAAGAATGAAGCTGAACAATGCCAATAAAATCTCATATATCATTGTAAATTTTAACGGACATTTAATCTAATAGTGCTGGTCTGTTTTATTACCAAGGTAACGAATCATTTTAAGTAAAATATCTCTCTGTAAAACAATATACCCACACAAACAAATCGATAGTTAACAAATAGTTACTGGGATAATTCAATGATATTAGACAAAAAAGAAAGCTTAATGGATCAGTCAACCATGAACGAGGATTGAAAAATCGTTCATATGTTAAAAACTACACAAATTCAATTCAAAAACAATCAAAGAAAAAGATTGTGATGAAATACATTTTTCAATAACTTTGTTTACATACAAGACTATAAAACCAATGAACTATACATATACTACATATAATATTATTCAATTAATTTAGAGAAAGAGTTAAAAGGCTAGAAGAAAAAAGACAGAACATATCGTGCGAAAAGAGGGAGTGTGAGAAAGAGTCAATATGCAGAGAATTCATGGTCCTTTACAGAAGTCTCTTATTATCATTTATTGATCTGTGGGAAATCTCGGACAAAATGATTATTGAAATTTCTAGTGAATATTGTTGAATCTAATTTTTGTTTATGTATCTACTCAGAGATTGTTTGCAAGAAAAACTTTCACAGTTATCAGTCAAAATAAAATTCACTGTTTTAATAAGAAATATGTACACAACTTATATCAGTTATTAGCACTTTTGTTCAAAAAAAAAAAATGCTGTTTACAAAGTCAATTGCTGGCGGTTTTATATCATATTCTATTCTGATAATGAGTCAGATTTATATGTAACTGTTGTATGTTTTCGTTCGACAATGTGTGCCTGTTATTCTGATAAAAAAGAAACAGACGTGTAATGATATTGATTAAAAGACAAATACTTTTCTTCTATTTGATGTCAATCAAGTTCTTATAACGGATCAAAAATAAATTTAAAAAATTTTTTTTCCTCTTTTCTGTGTATGTGTGTGTGTACTGTACATTTTAGGATTGAACATTTGATTCTCTTTCGTAACATACAGTTGGTAGGTGACAACTCAATTTCCTGTAACTTTTATCTTTAAAGAATCATTCTCTGTTCTCTTTTCATGTCAAGTAAAATTGTATAAATGATATTAGAATGTTAGAACATGTTTATTTGAAAAAGAACGAAAATATGTTGTGGGAAATATTCAAATATTATGTGATTACTGGTCACTTTAGAAAATTCATATCCAACACCAGCGTAAGTCATGAGCTCTAACCAACTGTCACAAGATTCATTCTTTATTCTCTAGATGTGTGTTATAGACTCAAATCTATGATGAGAAAGTCAAAGTTTTTTTATTAATAGTTTAATATCAATGTCTTTTTTTCTAAAATTATTGATTTCACAATATTCAAACTGTCGTCTATTTTAATGAGGTGCTGATGATTATCGTATAAGTATTCTGAGTATAGTTGCCACCTCCACCATAGTCTATCTTGACAAAGAACAACAACAACAACTGATAAGAAAAGCAAAAACACAAACCACTTAATTGTTAAGAAAAATGTAAGAGAAGAGAAGTAAATAGATAACAAGCTTCAATGATCATTTTATTTTATTTTTTTTAACCAAGTATTTTATTACGTTGTTACACTCTTCTCTCTCTCGCTCTCACTCTCTCTCTCTCTCTCTTTCTCTCATTCGATTCTCTCTATTTTACTTTGACGATGACAACCAACTGCTGAGTGAGGTGTTTTATTCTCTCTTTTTTTTTTTTAAAATTTATTTTATACATTTTATACCCCAACTACTGCTATACAGTTTTGTCACATAAAAAACTGTGAGAGATTTGTACAATGGCTTTAAATTATGAAACATTAATACGAGCTGCAATGAAACAACCGGAGGATCGAACTTTAACAGAAGTAAACGATTTCATATTTCCATGGTTGAAAGCGTCATTAAAGAAAAAACAAGGAATATTTCAAAAAATTAGTGATGGTAAATATATACAAAGGATTTTATATTATTCGTTTTTGGAAAGTTAATTAGTTTTGAATGGATGAAATTTTAATCTCTAATTCTCTATCTTTCTTAAACATTATTTTACCTTTTGGATGTAATTAGAAAGAAAAAAAGCAAATGATACATTAGAATTTAGAAAGCATATTATGAAAGTCTTCCTGTCCAACAGTTTGCCTCTACTTGTGTTACTTGAAGATGTATATTCAGCAGAACCCCGCACACTTATAACACTTGTCTGCGGACGTCCTTGGACATAGAAAAAAAATCTTATTCATACAAATCTTTAATGTCAACAATTGAAATTAAGTGTAGTCTGTGGAATTTAAAGAGACTATAGTAACTTTGCGTAGGTTGGGACTTTTTATTCTTTGCTAGAGGATAACTGATGTATGATTTTGGCTTTCTATATTCGACTCTATATTTTCTAGTGACAAGGTAAGCTGTTTTGATGAACTAGAAAAAGATTGAACAGGAAGTTATTTAGATAGATTTTTACTTTTAAAATAACTTTTATTAACTGAATGTTATCGAAGTTCTCTTTATACTATTTTTTTTCTTTTTTTTTTCGCGGAAACTAAAATGAATGATTGCTTTTATAAGTATAGGTAGCAATGTTTCCGTCTATTAAGTGTAACATGTATTCGTAGTTTATATAGTATCACAGTATACTTCAAAGAAAAAGGTTTCAAGTAGTTTTTGTCGTTCTTTCTGATCATTTTAAAAATTAGATTTTTTTTCAACTCATGTTTATACTATAAGATGAATATGATCAAAATTTGATTGAAGCGATACGTCTCTAGGAAACAAGATTCTGTTTAGTTTAAACTTCATATATTCATGATAAATGAATTTTTCGCATTTTTAACAACATTTGTGATACCCATAACTGTTTTTATACATAGAAAGATATGAGAAATAAAGCCGGATTAGAATATTATTGCACTTTCCTCATATAAAATATCTTCTATTATTTTCTGATAAACGATAAAGTGTTCTTTGTTGTAATCGATGAATCCTCGCAGCAAACGTCGTGTATGAATACGTTTTTAATTAACTATTTGTATCATTTTTATCCTTAAATTTGAAAGTGTGACATTGTATTGGTTTCTAAACAATTTGAAATAAGATCTTCGAATGCACCCACACATACACATTTCAAGGTGTTTTGTTAAAAAAAAATATGACAATGAAACAGAGAAACTCGTTAAAAACTGAATCAAAGAAAGGAAGGTGAGTAAAAAATAAACATAAATTAGTGAACTTTAATCGATTAAATAGTGGTTATAATAATATACGCGTACACTCGCACATACTCACATGATCTCATGTGTAGTTTGATTTTCTTTTTTTTAGAAGTGATACATGAAATTTGTAAATCAATTACCCTTGAAAGGCGTCGACCATGGGAAGTCGTAATACGTCAAGGAGAAGTTGGAGACAAGTAGGAAAATAATAGAATAAAATTTGTTTTGTTAAAATAATTTTGATCTATTCTAATTTTAGATTTTATATTATTTTGCAAGGTTCAGTGAACATTTATCGATTAGATGATGATGCAAAACCAACAACAGCAGATACTACGAGTGCTACCATTGATCCCAGTGTTATCGCCGATGATGAAAAACGAGAAGAAGTTATTTCAAATTATTTTGGAAATTATATTGTTACACTTGGTAATTATGAGCGTTTTTCGGTGATTTATTAGCACTACTGTCGTTTTTCTGTTTTGTCTATATATGTGTTGTCAATTGAGTTTCTTATTACAGTTGGAAATCGTTTTGTTAGTGCACACGGTGTGTGAGTACCGCTGTATTCTGCTAAATGCGTTTGACTACATTTTGAGTTCAATTTGTCCAGTGGCGGATTCAAAATTTTTCTTAGGTACATGTGGTAGGTAAAGAAAGAGATACGTGCGGTCACCATAGTAACATAAATTTTTGAGACAATTCTGCTGAGAAAAAAATAGCTTTTTTGCTTGAAAGCTACGGGCAACCGCTTGTACCGCTTGCTGACTGGATCCGCCATGAAGTTTTTCTGATCTATTGGGTGTTTTCCTGCAACTCTTAGTCATCAGACTGCTCAAAAAATTCCCAAAGATATCATTGACATCATTGAGAAAGTATTATCAATTCGACTGCTATGACAAAATAATTTATCTTTTGGATAAACATTTAATAGTATTCTATTCCAGGCGCTGGTTTTGATTTTGGTGAACGTGCTTTGATCACCGATGAGCCCAGAAGTGCTACGGTTATTACAGCAACATCCACTGATCTTCTTGTTGTTGAGCGTGATGTTTTCAATAGGTAAGAGTGGCGACGGTATAATTTTAATGTATAGTCTGTTTTTTTCGTTCTCATTAGAACGTTGAAATCGGCTCATGAAAAAGAATTACAAGAGAAAACAGAATTTATTAATAAATGTCCATTCTTTTCCACATGGAATCCGAGAATGAAACGTTTAGTTTCTCTTAATTTGGAACGTGGACATTTTTCCTACGATTCACTATTATTTAAACAAGGAGAAAGAGCTGATGCTGTCTATTTTATTTGGAGGTGATAAAATTCAATGTGATTTATTTCTAATCAGAATAATTCTCACTCTTTCTTGTATTAATATAGTGGTGAAGTGAAATTAACCATGGATCCGTTACTCCATTGGCTACAATATCCAAATATTTTATCATCACATAAACTATCGAAATCAGATCCATTAAAATCGTAAGTTTTATTATTTGATAACGACTCATATCTGAGTACTATGACAATTTTTTAGTGCTGCTATTGAATTATTTTTACCCATGTTAACTAATTTACCAAATGTAAATTCATCACCATATTATTCACAAAAAACCGAACAACAAGCAAAACAACAAAGTTATGCAATAAAACGTCGACATATGACATTTGCCCAAGCTGAACAAGAATTAAAAAAACGTATGTTACAAGTGGCTTTGTTAACAACCGGTGATATTATTGCATTGGAAGAATACGTATGCGATTTACAAACATATATGCAAACGGCACGTTGTACTAGTGCATGTGATTTATTCTATATTTTAAAACATAATCTTGTTCGATTACAAAAACGAATGGGTGCACAAGGTTTAGTAGAAAAACTTCGAGAAACTGTTTTATTAACATTTCATGCTTATAAACAACGTTTTATTTATTCATCAATACCATTAGTACGACTATTAACAGTAGAATTAGAAAAGCGAAATGAAAATGATTTAATGAATAATAATTATCAACAAAAACGATGGTTCCAATTACAGCAAAATGTATGTACTACAATAGAAATGTACTGGAAAAGGAAATATCTATTTCTTCATTTTAGACACCAAAAACTAGTCGTCGATTTCAACGTGTTACGAATCATCAGGGAACAACTCGACGAACAACTACAGTATTGAATCGTAGTTTTAATTCTGGTACAAATCCGTCTCATATATCATCAGGTGATTCAATGGTATCTGATCAAGCGTTAAGAAAACTAGAAGAACGTTTGAAAGATTGGCATCAACGAATGGGCCAAGCAAGTAAACCACAAATAGCAAAATTACAACGTTATAATCACATGGTAGACTTAGTTTATTTAATATAAATCAATTCTAAATCAGATGTTTATCTAATACTATTGTAGAATACCGATACTAGACAAAAAATGTTGGCTCGCTCACATATGTCAGATTCTTCTCATGAAGTTGATGATACAACATTTGAGACAATTGATACACAGTCGGATTATTTGTCAAAGTAAGTAGAATATTTGAAAAAAAAATTGTATTAGAAACGATATCGAGACTATTTTAATTACTATCTGTCAGTGTCAGTATGGAGTGATATCTTACTATTTGTAGACGTACATCGAAAAACAGCCGTCATGTAAGTGAATCCGTCATGGCCCGTTTTACCTGCTTAGAATCATATGTGGCCTATTTAAATTTGTTGTAAAATATGCTAAAAAGAATGATAATTGCAACCATTTCTTTTTAATTTGCCCGTTGATCGTCTGTTTTTTATTTTTGCTTTTACAACTAATTATTTGCGGCAGAGAATTTTCTACTAAAAAACTAAAACAGCCATATAGCAAGCAGAAAAGCTATCGTTTGTTCAAAAACGATATAATACTAGTATAATAATTCAAAAGTTTCTGAATGTTAGAACTAAAGTTGTACAAAATATTGCTTCAAATATCTATTCAAAACGTATGAGGAAAAATTTGCATGCTGATACACGTGCAAGAAACCATCACAAAGAAAACATGTTATAATAAGTTTATAACATATGCATGTAAATCATTTATATTCACACTCGATTAGTCAATGTTGTTCCAGTAGATAAAATCTTAAAATTACATATTAAAAGATTTGTTTATGAGTCTTGTCATAGTGAACCATTGTTTATGGTTTAGATTGTTATTGTTATGATTGGTCAGATATATCTGTTGTTCTTGTTCCAATACATTCCCTTCAAAGAAAAAATTCCTATTCTTTTTATGAACATAAAACAATTGCTGAATTTGTTTATTTAGTTTCCAGCAGTCAGATGAACCATTATTTAAAGTTGAATTGGTTTTGGAAGAAAATATGGGAAATATTCGTACTCGTATACAGGTATAGAATAAATTTGTTCATTTATTAAGTGTGTTACATATATGATTTATGTTTATTTAGAGTGCACCTGCTGTAATTTATACCAAACAACAACAATATGAAGACATGAAACAGTATCTGAAAGCAGCTTGGAAACGTTTTCTCTCTCGTCCACAACCTTGTCTATAAATACATTTTTTTTTCTCTATTTCTCTTCAATATTTTCCGTTATTTGACAATGTACAGTTTGATAACATTTGTTTTTCTATTAAATTAATGAACTATTTTTATACACAATAAGAATAATTTATTTTATTTGAAAATAATTCTGAACTGACTTCGAAAAATTTAAAGTGGCGATGAACAAAATTATTCAAATAATAACCGGTAAACATTTCAGTAATTATTGACGATATTAAATTCTTATCTTGAATAATAACATAACATTTGGATACCAAATCACTCCTTACAATTGGAGATTAAAGATTATCTGAAAATATTTCTCCAATGATTTCATAATAGCTACAATCCTTTATTCTAGACTTTTATATATGTTTTTTCTTCTTCAAATGAGTCATTTTTGAGTGAGTTTCGAATTTTTTAGAGAAAGATTTCCAAACTTATTTTTCACAAATCAACTATTTCCATTGTCTTCTATAAATAGCCGAAACCCACGCGTTTCTACCTTTCATCGTTAAAAATTTATTAAAAAATGTACCGAAGATTATTATGTTCTGCAATAGATAGCAATTAAAAAAATATCTTATTCTACTCTTAAAAGCTCATTATTGCCATGAAATCCTTAAATTTCTTGATTTGAGGTTTGATTAGTTTGATTTAATGTCATAATACAGGGATACAAAATATGGAAACAAAAAGAATCAAAATTAATCGATAAACTCGTTTCACAAATCTAACTAGAGATAACAAATGATATACAACCATATTTTCGAATAGTTTTTATTCACAAATATGTTTTAACTAACGCTAAATCCAAGAAAACAAACAACTACTTTGATTTAATCTGTGGTATCTCTTCTTCTGGTGGTATCGTTCCATCTTTCAAAAACTGTGCACATTCATTCCATAACTGTTGATCAATTTTAGATTTTCTGAAAAAGTTGAAATGTCCATATCTATATTTTTCTTTATAATGTCGATATGTTATTTTGCAATTAGGAAATTGTTCATGAAATTGTTGGAATGCTTCTCTCTTATAAAATCGATCATTTTCAAAACTAATTGCTAATATTGGACACTGTAAACTTTCATAAGCTTCTGGAAATAATAAATTTCCTTGTTTATCAACAAAACATTGTTTATGTTTACAAAAATGTGCCCATTGACGAATAATATTTGTGGGCATATTTTCTCCCCGTTTAAAAACAGTTTTGATTGCATAATAATTATAGAAAAATGCTGAAAATTCTCGAAAGACATATAATAAAAACAGAGTCATCAAAAATTCTAAATTTTTCTTATGATAACCTAGATACGAATTTGTTGATGAAATAGTTAAAACACGTTTTATTCGCCTATTTATTTCTGAATACATTAGTGCATGAATATTTCCACCAAAACTATGACCAACTGTAACCACATCGTGCGATGAATATTTATCTAAACAGTATGATAGAATACTTGCACAATCTTTTCTTGCCCAATCGACAATATTCCAATCAGCACCGCGTGGTGGTTGATTCGAATTTGTTTTTGAATCACCAACACCTCGATAATCATAACAGACTGTTAATATTTGATGTTGTTCACATAAATATTGAGCAAATGAATAATAATATTTACGATTGACACCAGTAGCCATAGAAATCACAGCACATATAGAAGATTTATTTGGTTCAAAAACAGTTGCTGTTAATGGATAATTGTCCACTTTGGATAAAATTGTTAGATCAAATTGATTGAAGGAGGAAAGAAACATTGATTTAGATGTCGAGAAAAGCATAGTGCCCGTTTTAGATAACAATTGCCGACTTATATTCATTCTAGAAAAGACTGTGAACGAGTTGAAGTAAAAAAAAGGAGAAGAGGCCGTAATGCATCGCCATAAATTCAAAAAGATTAACAGAAAAACAAAGTTAGATCTGTATAAGTGTTTAGTGTGAGTCCATTTCAAGAACTTATTGATATCAATGGACAAAATATGGGTAACAAACGAATTATAGTAGCACATCTCTTTTAGATAGACAATTTGGTTAAAATTGGATACACAGTTTGTGAAATATTAGTATAAATGTTACACTCAGATTAGCCATTGTTAATCTACGATTACTCCAAGAAAGTCTTAAGATTTTTTATGATACATTCTAATTATGAGATAAAACTAGGCATACTCATAAAGCTATTCTTCAACTTTGTTTCGATTCTAATTGCCTAATATTTTTAGAAATAAAAGAGTTCAAACTAAAAATTCAGAAATATATTCTACTCAAGTATGTCTAGATTATTCTTGCAAAGTCCTAAGTAGTCCTTAAATAAATAAACACTTAAGTGTTGCTAAAGGATATCCTGTAGTGAACAAAATTTTTCAAAATCATGTTATTAATCCAACGGCATTATTCTTGAAAGTGTTCTCTACATAATGAGATATTACAACCTTTCAACGACTTTTTCTTGGTATGAGAAGATAAGAAGTTTTTAAATTTCTCCATCGCAAGCTGCAAAAAACATTATTTTTTAACCTTTGTAATTTTTTTAAAAATTATAGAAAACTAGGTCTCATATTTACACTTAGTAAAAGATTTTCGTTAGAAACGATGATCGTGAAGAGGTTGGGAACATCTCATTATGTAGAGAACACTTTCAAGAATAATGCCGTTGGATTAATAACATGATTTTGAAAAATTTTGTTCACTACAGGATATCCTTTAGCAACACTTAAGTGTTTATTTATTTAAGGACTACTTAGGACTTTGCAAGAATAATCTAGACATACTTGAGTAGAATATATTTCTGAATTTTCAGTTGACTTTTTTATTTCTAAAAGTATTAGACAATTAGAATCGAAATAAAATTGTTTACTTTTATTTCGATGTTTCTGTATTTCTCGACCCTAGTATAGTATATAGTATAGAACCAATGAAAATAATTTAAGTGCAATCATGATAGTGAGAGTTTAACATTAGTTAAGAATAGTTAGAACAATGACGGATCCAACCATCATAGCTGGATCATCCGGCACGTGTGTAGCAAAAAAGCTATTTTTTTCTCAGCAGATGTCTCAAAAAAATTTCTATGATGTAATGATTACATGCACCTCATACTTTTATTGTGTGCCGCACGTCTCAAAGAAACAGTCGAGATTCGCCACAGAGTTAGAATAGTATTTCTTTTACTTCTCTTGTTGTTTTATTTCAATTAACATCTTCAGAAAAGAAGGGCTAAGAGACCAAATCCTTTTTGATGGTAGTGGTGGAAGTGATTGTAGAACGAAAGGTCCGGACAACAGTATTATTCTCGAAAGTGTTCCTTCGTGTATGGGCAAACGAAGGCATCCACATTCGCTTATATCAACGTGAGCCCACGTTTTACGACTAATATAATGAAGTGACTGTATCTTATCCTGATCATATATATAATACATATAACGAAAAAAATGGCCATATTGAAAATTTTAAAGTGTGGTCTCGCTCGAGCATGTGTTTTGAAAATGGTCAAAATGCTATTTGCATTGGACAGAGAGAAAGAAAAACAATTTAATTTTTCGATGAAATGTCTCTATAACAGAGAAATTTAAAAACTGTTGAAATGGAAGTATTTGGCACGGATTTCTTCGATTGGTTAGTGCCAGTTATCAAAGCGGTTCGGATACTTCAGGGTGTCAGTTGCTTAAATGAGCACCCATTGCAACATTTTTAGCACTTTTGGACTGCAGAATGGATTGAAAATCGTGAGACGTGTTTGTTGCTGTTTCAAAAAAAGAAAGCGTTTCAACACCCTTTATTTTTCGACCGTAATTTAACTCTCAGTCTTTTAAAATTCAAATATTAGCCAATTTCAACATGTTTCTTATTGTATTTCATCCACACTTTGTTAATTGCTGGTGTATTCACCGGCCACAAAACGTTTCAACTTATCTGTTATTATTATATTTCCTTGTTTTTTTGACAATCCAGTGCAAGGTATATTTATCGTTTACATAAAGACTTTTGCTTCAGCTTTACCATTATAAATCATTTGTGTAAATGTCTTTTTGAAGATTTTTCACATATGTTTTATGAAAGGTTTCACGCGGACAGAATTAATCAAATTAGGATCTTTTCTAGTCATAAATAGAAGAATTCTAGCACACAATCACTATGCATAACGGTAACGATGACACAAATGGAGGGTTATGATAATCCCACTATCTGCGTGTAAGACAGGCTAAATTATGTCATCTATGATGTGAACATCAGTAACAGACATAATACAACAGACAAATGATTTGTCTGTTATATTATGTTATACCGGTGTTCACGACTAATTAGGATTAATATTGTTGCTTAATATTCACTATGTTTCGTTTTGAGATATTAAGTTTTTTTCTTTGACATACCATGTGTACTCGGCACATCTTGAAGATCGAGTTTTAATTGTCCATTTAATCGGTATTTCATAGATCATGATTTATGACTCAAAAATGTGAGCGCTAACGTCCCTAGAAGCGAAGTGGGTGTTGAGATTAAGTGAAAACACAAACATGTAAATAAATCGGGAAGAAAATATTCTCTCTAATAGCCGTTATATCTTGTCATATATCCATCTATCTTGTCTACGGAAATGGTTTATATAACTGATGATCCCTAGATCATATAAACAAAGAACAATAACAATCGACTCAACATTGTCACACACTACCATATTCTCTGTCCTTACGTTATAGATATGTTTTCTATAGCAAGGACGCAATCTGTACATCTCAACCAGGAATAGTGTCCACGTTTTCATAAATACACAGAAAAAGACAGAAAATTTTCGATTGTAATTAGACTTGTAACTAGACAACATGAATGTTAGTGGTTATTTGTATTGTCAGTGTATATACTACGAAATGGATAAGATTTGTAAATATGCTCTCCGATGAAGAGAAAGAAGCATATATTTTGTTTGAATAAATGAATTTCTATGTAATACATATAATTTTGTCTTTTCTTTCTCTAAAAGACCGCATCTCTTCTTCTTCTCCTGCTGTACAAATATAAATATACTAATGACAGTGACATGAATATCAATGGAACAATAATGGTTGTTAAAATAGATGGAGATATAGAGACAAACATATACGACCTTCTTTAAATATCAACTTTGTTTTATTACGCACAAAAAAAAATGACGAAGAGAAAGAGAAACAACGGTACCATCTAAAAATCCTCGTTGTACGAAACGAAAAAAGAAGAAAAATTAAAAAGGGTTTCCCTTTTCTTTTTCTATGTATTTCCAGAGTTGTATTTGTAAAGAAAACCTTTTTTTTCCTCTACTTTCCACGTAAACGATCAAAAAAATATGTATAACTTTAGACTATCTAACAGAATTAATCAAGTGATAACAAGAGTTGTGGAAATAAAAAAAAAGAAAGAAGACAAAAGTCTTCTTTTTTATTGCCGTGTATTAATCTTGCCTTGTTCCTTTACAGAGCATCATATTTTCTATTAGATTACTTTATATTTAGAGATACCAGTTTAAGTTTATAATTTTGTTTATTTATTTCTCCTATTTGAAACATGAGGTAAGCGTTCGTTTCTTATATACATACACAATTTCTTGTATGTACCATGTTGGTATTAATTTCAGCTTAAGATTCAACAGTCAGTTTTTTTAATGATAAATCTGTTCTATGTAAGATACAAAGAATAAGAATTACAATTAGATTTAATTGACATCTATCTATTTTTTATAAGTTATGAATTTATTTAGTTTATCTTTTCCAATCATGACTGTTGTTGTTGGTAGTCTGTTTTTGAATAATTTATTCAGATGCGTTACACGCACAGCATGGAAAATGCGTGACTTTTACGTTGTTGATTGAAGTGTTAATCTTGAACTAGAACGAAATCGAGAATATATGAATTCCCATTATATCATTTTGAAACTTAAACACAAAAACAATTCCTTTTGACGTTATTGCCACTAGCGTTTTGCATCTCTTGCTGCCTCTTCTGTTAGAGAAAAGTTTTATAGTTTTGCTGATATAGATTCTTTTTTTACAATTCGTGAGCTTTCAAATATACTATTTAGTTCAATTTAGAAAAAGAATATTGAAGCACCACTTTATGGTTGATGATCTAATTTCTAAAGCAGTAGTGTTTTGCCCATTCTCACAATGTGTCTTTGCTAGAAAGTAACTTTATGTTAGATTATATCATCACTCATGGAAAAAATGCTAGATTTATAAATTATTTTTAAAAGTTAATATTAATTCTCATAAAATATATATGTATAGTTTTCTCTGGTATTTATAAGCAGGATAATGTTACAAAAACGACTTATATTATTGTCCTAAAGTGGAACGCGCCGTGTCAATATTGAAAATAATAATCATCGTTCTTCTCTTCTCTTTGAGACATTTAGATTTTCAACAACAACAACAACAACAACAAAAACGTTAGGAAATATATTTGATACAGAGATATATATTTTCGCTGACACATATTTACATATAGAAATCTATTTTTATATGTAGCAATGAGAAATCTTTTTTTGCTTGTAATCTAAAGTGGTACTCATTTTTCATTATTTGTTATTTTTGTATTTAACGAGAAAAAATAAATCATTAAAATAGTATTTTTAGAACTATGATTATTGAGTTAGAAAGTAAATTTGTTTATTATTTTAAGGGATATTCAATACGACTCATTAACAAATTTTCTGCAGAGTTTCACAAAACTAAACTATGCACATCATTAGACTTATTTTCTAATCAATTAATACCTATGGTTTCTGACTTTTCAAATTAGATTGCTAGGAAGAAGTAGCTTTTGAAATTGTAGCTTAAGGGGATCCGAACCACGTTTAATTGTGCTTAACATCATTCTACTCTAAAGAATGATGTTAAGCAAGAATGGTCAAGAAAAGAGAAGTTAAGACGTACTATAATTTTGTTTAGCTTCTAATATACTACTAATAAACATGCAAATAAATTTTCATTGTGATTAAGAGATTGATGAGTGCATCTAGAAGCGGCACCAGTTAAGACAAAAAGTGATTTTCATGCAGCTCCATCATTCATTGTCGAACAACAACTTTTTCTCATTTTAGTGCCTGTGTAAAATGTTCAAATCCGTTTCCTGCTGGATCACGTAGGAATTTCTTTTATTTCAAAAAATCGTATGTCAAAACCATTCATTGTTTTCATTCCTTTTAGGAATCACCGAATTCGATAGCAAACAATATCATGTGAGTGTCTCACTCTCAACGAGTTACAAATGATCGTGTCTTTTGAATTTCTCCCTTTTCTCGCGCATCCTAGTTCGACTTTATTTACATTTGTTACGCTAATCTTCCCAAGTATCACTTTTATTATCAGTGAAAATCTTTTATCCGAAAGATAGTAAAACTCACTTCCAGAAGAGATAGGAAACATGGATCTGAGCCTGTAACTCTAGGATAGATTCAAGTTAAATTTTGTAGGAAGTCGGAAGATTCTAATTCTTGTGTGATTTTTTCTAACGAGCGAAAATGTAAAAATTAGTAGCGAACTTGAATGATCAACTGCAAATTTCGAATAATAATGTAAAGTACATCTTGATTTGCATCTTAGTCGAGAAACAGAAACTGGTATAAAAAAGTCAGTTCTCACCCGATATTAGTCTATTAGATGTATAAATGTTAATGACAGTCATTAGAAATCTCGTCTATTTATTAAATACTGTTACTAATTCATCTGCTGTTTACAGCCAGAATGTTTTGCGTGTGCGGATTGTCGAAAGGCCATAACATCACAATTTTATCCATTTAACAATGATTATTTATGTGCCAATTGTCATGAAGCTCGTTTTCCAAAAAAACGTTGTGTCAAATGCGGTTCCGTGATTACATCGGCTGGTATCACATTTGGTGGAGCATCATACCATGCTGCTTGCTTTTTATGTACGTTTTGTAATCGATAAGTATTTGACTAATCTTTAACGATATTTTTGACTAAATTGCCACTATTTGTGAGCTGAACGATACGGAATAGGATATGTTGCTTGTTCTAGGTGTTACATGTAAACAGCCCATAAATGCTCAGTCAAAAATAAGTATGGTCGAAGGTCAACCATGTTGCGTAAATTGTTATGAAGATCGACATGCTAAAAGATGTTCAAAATGTCAAAAAGCGATTGTTGCTGATGTTGAATATCTAGAATTTGAAGATAAATATTGGCATAAAGAATGTTTTGTATGCTCAAAATGTCAACGTTGTATAGCCGAAGAATCGTTCTATCAAGATGGTGAATTAATTTTATGCAAAGATTGCATTTAATCACACCTTAGAGAACCCAATAGAGTAATTATCTCAACATTAAATTGATTAAAATTCTATATTTGTTATTTATTTTTATGGATTTTGAGTTACGCAAAGAGAACTGACACTCACTCGCGTGGCTATACACACATACAGACGGTGCTTTGTTTTGTTTTTTTCATTGTCAGTAATATTTTCGTCATTTTGCATAGTGCTTTCAGTTCTGCTATATACCTATTTTGCTTTTTATCCTACCATTGCTAATATTTCACTTGCCACAGTTCTATAATACGCTTTGTTGATATTAATATCGATTTAATGCTGTTTTTCTTTTTTTTTCTACAAGAGATGCTTGATTGTTGACGCTGCGGGAAAAAATATACATGGTAACAGTCAATGAAGTGGACAAAGCTTAATACTTTTCTTGCTATCGTTTACTGTAATGATTGCCGAAAACTTGTAACTCACCATGAGTTGGAATTCTCACTACTCAAATTTTTTGATAATATTTTTATTCTATAAGTTTAATTTCTTCACAAATCAATCATTTTATAGTTGCTTTATTGTTTGGTTGAAATGATCATTTTTGCAAATTAATCAACTGTACTTCAGTTAACCGATTGAGCGCACAAAACTACGAAGATCGATGAGAAAGCATCTTTGTGAAATATACTTGCAATTACAAAATATACTTATCAAAAATCTCATAGGCAAATATAAATTCTCATAGAAGCTTGAATGAACTAATTAAAAGTCTCTGCCTTGTTGTATGAGATTGGCTCAAGTATATCTTGAAAAATAATTCCAATAATTCTGTGATGTACTAGGATTATCTTTAATCATCCTAAATGTTGATGTATTTCATCAAACAATTGGGGTTGCCACCTTTTCTGCTTTCTTATCTCTTTTGTGGTTTTTTAATAGTATACCATATCATTCGATGGACACTAGTCAACAATCAGCTCGGTCTGAAAAGTTGCATCATTTATGTAGTGTTATCAAGGCTGGATCAGTTCAACAAAAAAATAAAAAGTACTTTTCACAAAAATATTTTTTTTCTCGCCTGCTTTTATCTCACATTAGCTCTGACCTTCTCAGCACTTTTAGGTTTGACTTAGCTAACCAACTAATGCATTGAAAAAGCGCGTTTGAAGGTAATAGTAATCCCTCCCCACTCATCGTAACACTGTTTTTATATACCGGTGATAGCCTAAGTCATCTCATTAAGCCGACCGAGTGAAAATCACCGAAGGCATATTCTCTTTTAACGGGCGGCCCATAAAGAATGGCGGTCTCATGCAGTTTTTACCGCTTAGACCTCGCCTTTTTTTCAACAGATTCCTCATTCAATTCTGTACAAAAACGTGTGAAAAGGGTTTGCACAAAATGAAACCGTGAAACTCTATCTGGTGAACACTGGTATGCTCCGAAAAGGCCTGTTTTCAAATGCACGTTTTCACAATATTAATTTTTTTTCTGCCTCTGACTAATAAAGTACCGAATTACTGTGGTGCACATTTTTCGCTATTTTCAAGTATGCCCTTTCTCATGGCACTTGAAACGAGTCGCTTGGATAGTACTACGAGATTTCAGGAACAGTTTACCTTGAAAAACGAGCTGGAATAATTCAACATTTTGTTCTCAACATTGTTGTGAACTTTTTTAACGTGTTGAAAACGTTTGTAGTTCCAACGCACTTGAGCGCGTTTATTTTTACGAGCTTTGCATTTAAAATCATGATTTTTGACGCACTGAAACCGTTTTTCACGTTTTTTCAACGCATCATAGACAGTTTAGATATTTTTTTCGAAAAATAAACGCGTTTAAATGGGTTGGAACTACAAACGTTTTCAATGCGTTAAAAAGGTTCGACGTCGTCTAGGGTGAAAACGCGTGATAATGAAACATTTTTCAATTGACGTTTAAACGCGTTCAGAAATTTTGCAAATTTCCTGCTGTGTATGATTCAGTGCTCGCTGCGTTATTTGACAACCACAGAGTACAGCATAATAAAAAACATCATATTCACGTATATGAAAGCAAACAATTTAGTACTTTAACAAGTTTTTCTTTGAGAAATAATTATTACCTTCGGTCGGTTTAATGGATTGATAGTGATCTGATGACTGAACAAAGTAAAATAAAACATATGTTCTAGTTGTAGAGATGAGTAAAGTTCATCTTCAGTGGCAAAATGCTGGATGTCTTCTCTTATTTTTTTATGTCTGTACATGAAGCTTATTAGCAACAAAACATGTCGTAAGGCTATAAATGTCAGGAAGTGGTAATGAAAACGATCGTAATTCTTTGAGAAAACGTCATAGAACGTTGGGAGATGCCTCATTTCGTACAAAACATCTTGTTATACATGCTTAAGATCTTTAGAAAACTTTTCTACTGGTTTTTTTAGCAAGAAAGAACGTTTTTGATCTTCAATAAAACGTTTTATAAACTAGTTTTTTCCATAAAGGAGAGTTCTGGAGCTCTCAGAAATATTTCATATTGAAGAACACACTTGACTCTATTTACAGTATATCAAACTAAAAATGTTTTCCTAATTTATTCGCTATTAAACTTGTAGGGAAGAGAAATTAAGCACAAACAATAAGAGTTTTCAGTCTGACTGTGACATACACTAGAATATTTGTCGAATTTTATGCATTTTATGCATAAGGCATTAGGAATCGCTTTCAAAAAGATGTCTTACAGAATCTCATTTGAAACTTACCCGATTGATTTCTAGCAAAGGTACAATATGATTTGGCATCCAAAGGAGTATTAAGTTATCTACTTGTGGATTACCGTTACCATGTATACTAGTAAACATCCAATTATTAACAGTTTTAGCTAATTAATTATCACCACCATTAACGCTGGGATAGACGGCTTTAATTTGAATATTCAACCTCGATATCATACTCATAGAATCGTAAACCGTAGCATTCTTTTGATCCTAGAGCATTTCTGTTAAAAAATTTTTTTCTAATGACCTATTAAGCCTTTCATCAGTTCAGTATTTTCACTTTTATATCTAATAGCATTTATAATGAGTTCAAGGACGTTTCGAACTCTGAATTCAGTCACCATATTTATATCAAAGTTTCCAAGTAGAGCAAGACTGTTGTTAAAACAATTATCGTCTGCCGCAAAATCACATGGAAGAAAATTTCGATAATCGGCAGCATAATAGGTGTGTAAATACGACTCAGCTACTGTATTACGTTGATGTTTAGCATCATCAAAGTGTTTAATTGGATTAGATACAAGTTGGTAATTCTTGACTTAAAGCATCTGCTCACATTCATCATGCAATTCATTAAAGCCAATTTGAGCAGAATTTTGGATTTTTCAAAATTTTCCAAATAAATTACGTTGATCGAGCGCGCTACGTGTGGTGTGGTACATAATGATTCTTCTGATGCTGACGCATAAGGTCTTAATCACTAAACTTACAGAAGTGTCAGTACGATTCTATTACTAGTTCCGGACGTGGCAGCAAGCAGCTATTGCCCTTCCAATAGAAAGTATCAATAGGCGATTATCGCTCGCTACACGACTCTTTCAGGAACGATATTTCTACAGACACACGTGCAAAGCTGTTTGTGAGTGGGTGGAGGGGGGAGTAAGCAGTGTGAGAGTGAGTTCGAAAAGTAGTTTCATACTAAACGTGATTGCATGTGCGCAGTATGAAACTAGTAACAAGACTTCAAAGCGAAGAGAAATGAAACACGTATCGGGTGGCCAGGATTAAATGAACCCTTTTTATTTTCATTATAACTTCTTTTTGTTAGGTTCCCAAATCTTAATGTTCGTTTCAAAAGATGCGAGAGATACCTTCTCTGCAGAAAACAAACTGAACATATTTCTGTAAATCTCAAGAATGAAAAACTATGGAGAAAATACTGTGAAGCTTCAATCTCCATTACTTTCTAACCTAAAAAACGACGAAAGAAAAACTTTTGTTCTCAAAATTTCCAAGAAACCAAAAAAGCTTCATAGTTTCAAATCACAATACGCAGTAAAAAAAAGGAATTGTCATCACTGTTCAGTTTAGATATCCTAAAAATCCCACAATAGTATGAAAACGTTTGTTATAGCGCAATTCCTTTATGCAAATTAAAATTCCGAAGGAATCGAGTTTATACCACTCGTCCTTCAATGTCGTATTTATAGTTGCCATCTCTGTAGGTTTTTTACTATTCTGAATTTTCCTCAGAGATTAGAATTGTTTGGTAATTGCAGGAAGCTTTTTCGTCTAATAGCTGATCCAGACCTAGAAAATCTAAATCTAGTCGGAATCAGCTATGACAATCCTGAAACTGTTACTTTCAGTAAATCCAGTACTGATTCTGTCACCAGATTCAGAGCTGAATGAACATTCAACTCTAGTTTAATGGGGTCAGAACAACTGCTCGTAAAACTGCATAATTGATTCAGCTGTTTAACCGAGATGATTGTCAACTAGTGGAATCATATCTTCTTATTTTGTGCATTTTTTCGTTTTTTAACAATGCTGATTCATTGAACAAAAGTTTTTATTTTAAGCAAACATAAAACTTCTTGTGTTCATTTTTTTCCACAATCCGCAGTTACTCACTTTGGGACGTTCTCTATAGTGTAGAATAGTAAATATCTCGGTAACCGTAGCTTGTCAGAAAATGCTGAACATAACAACTGAAATTTGAGTTTATTTAAACTGGAAACTTTCGTTCAATGAATCAGCATTGCTAAAAAATGAAAAAGTGCACAAAATAAGGAGATATTATTCTATCTGATCACATACTATTATACCAAGGGGGAAAAAGCGGATTCGCGTATTCTGGAATTCTCATATACTCGGAAGTATTGACATTCCACCAAAAGTTTTCTCACCAACTTTTAAAACTATTTTTAACAACTATAGCTCTTAGTTGATGTACTGAAACAGTTTTCATATTCTTATGTCAAGAAGTATCAAACATAAAGAGAACAGTTTTCCCTTTAGGCTAAAACACCATAAATAGTTTTTATTTTTATAT